TTGATCTAAAAAATGTTACTGAGTAACTGCTATGTGCCAGTTACAACGCTGGAGACAGGATAATAAACAAGATGTAGATTCTCCTGACCTTCATTGAGTTTACATTCTAGTGGGGTTAAAATTTTTGACAGCCGTGTTATTAGCCACATCACCCACAACAGCCAAATGATGGAAGCAACTCAAGTGTCCATCAATGGCTGCATGGATAAACAAAACATGGTGTATTTATTCACACACCTTTAAAAGGAAGGAGATTCTGACACACGTTACCATATGGATGAATCTTGAGGACGTTAAGCTAAGTGAAATGAATGAGTCACAAAAAGATAAATACTGTATGATTCCACCTATATGAGGTACTCAGAGTAGTCAAATACATACAGACAAAAAGAACAATGATGGTTGCATAGAACAGAGGGTGGGGAGGAGAGAATGGAAGAGTTATTGTTTAACTGGTCAAGAGTTTCAGTTATACAAAATGAAAAGACTTGTTGAGATGGATGGTGGTAATAGTTGTAAAACCATGTGAATGTACTTAATGCCACTGAACTGTATGTACACTTAAAAATGGTTAAGATGGTAAATTTCATGTTATGTGTGATTTACTACAATTACAATAATTTTTTTTTTAAAACAAGATTGTTTTGCTTTCAACAAAGGAATAACCCAAAAAGTTTAATGCTAGCGGACGGGCTTCTAGAAAGACCACTGAAAACAGAGGGAAAAAAATTATAGTATGACGTTCCTGAGATGGCAGCAGGGGATGATATCCAATTCACAAATAGGGATTCGTCTGTGATCTCTTCCACTAAAGATATTATAGTGAATATAATCGTGGAGCAAAATTATTTCTTTCTGAAATGCCACTAAAAATTCCCATATAGGCTTCTGACTAGAATGCAGAAAGCTAGAGTAACTCCCCCTCTACCTCTGAGAAAAAGTGGGACAAGATGCCAATCTTCTCCAAATTGATCTATAGATTCAATGCAGTCCCAATCAGGAACCCTCAAGCTCTTTTGCAGAAACTGACAAGCTGATTCTAAAATTGATATGGAAAGCTAAAGGACTCAGAATAATTAAAACAACTTTGAGAAATGAATATACTTGAAGAATTTCACATTATTTGGTTTCAGGACTTTCTATACTGCTATGGTAATGAAGACTGTGTTATAATGGCAAAATGACAGCCTTAAATCTATGGAACAGAATAGTGCCAGAAACAGCCGCTCAGTTATGGTAAGCTGATTTTTAACAAAGGTGCCAAGGTAATTCAATGAAGAAAGGATAATCTTTTCAACAAATGCTGTAACAATTAAACATCCTTTGAAAAAAGGTGAACCTCACCTCATACCTCACGTTATGTAAAAATTACTTCATGATGGGTCACAGATCTAAACGTACAACTTAAAACTATACAACTTCTAGAAAACAACAACAAAAATTCTTTGTGAGCTTAGGTTGGGTAATGGCTTCCTAGATAGCAAAGAAAAAGCACCTATGCATAAAGAAGAAATTAAAATTTTTATTCTTTAAAGAACCGCCAAAAAAAGAGAAAAATAACACTGGGATAAAATATTTGCAATACATATATATATGATAAATAACTTTTATCTAGAAGTTATAAAGAACTCTCAAAGCTTAACAAGAAAACAACCCAATTTTAAACCTAGAAATACAGACACTTCACCAGAGATATGGTTAGTAAATAAACACACGAAAAAATGTTCAACATCAATAGACAATGAAAAAATGTAAATTAAAAGCACAATAAGACATGACTACACACTAACGACAACATAAACAAAACAAAACCTAACAACACTAGGTACTACCAAGGATACACTTGCTGGTGATAATAGAAAATGATGTAAACATGTTGGAAAACAGTTTGGCAATTTCTTATAAAATTAAACATCAATATACCATATGGTCCAGCAATACCAATCTTACATACTAACCCTAAAGAAAATATATACATCTAAAAACCTGTAAGTGAATGTTTCTAGAAGTTTTATTCCTAACAGCCAAAACCTGAAAACAAATGTTCATCAACTGGTGAATGGATAAACAAATTATAGTAGATCCACATATGGAATACTATTAAGCATTGATAAGGAACAAACTACAAATAGACCTAACAATATGAATAAATCTCAAAATCATTATGCTAAGTGAAATAAGCCAGACACAAATGGCTATATATTATATATTTCTGTTTATATGACATCTGGAAAAGCCAAAAGTATAGGAAGAGGAAATAATTTTAAAAAATTAAAAATTTTAAAAACAATTGCCAATGCAATTGCACCACATAAGAATGTTTTGGTCAAGGATGGACTGCCTACTGGTCTGATAAGATGACAGCGGAGCATATCTAGAACCCGATATAGGGCATTTGATATTAGCACTGCAGATCAAGCTGGAGAAATCAATGATACCCAATAATGTGCAGGGACATTTTTTGTTATATGAAGAAAAAAACATATATATATGCACACGCACACACACACCATCTAGGTTCATGTAGGTAGTCTGTATTCGTGCATTGCTGAAACTGCCTAACAAAGCATTTCTCAGAATTTATTCCCACTGCTAAGTGACTCACAACTACAGCTGCAAATAGTTATGCAGTATTTTATTATGATAATCCTCACAATACTCCATAGAGTTGGTATTAGTTTTATATCCATTTTACAGGTAAGAAAATGGGGGGTCCAGAGATTGTCCAATTTACTAAAGGTAATAAAGTGAGTACACGCGCTGACATTTGTAACTTGGAGTCTCTTACTTCAAATTTTATGCTTTTCCCTGCTGCTATACCAATAAGTCAACTAACTTGTCATCCTTTGCTTTTATAATACTTGATTCAGGCCTCTGTTACACAAATTTTAAAGTGATTTTTGTAATCAATAAGTTTGATTATAAACGAGGAATGGAAATAGCTTATTAATTTTTTATGTTTACATTGTTTAACATAATGTTCAGAACACAGTGGACACTCAACTATTTGTGAATGAATAAAGAATTACTTGCATTTCCTGAAAGGAGAATTAAAAATTATAGCAAATATTCCAAAGGTAACTTATTTCACTTTTGAAAACATTATAGTTCACTTTCACGAACATGGCACTATAAGTAAACTGTGTCTAAGAAGGTATAGACTTAAGCCTTAATATCTATGTTTGGAAGAGGACATAATATCTTTTCCTTTTTTGCAATCATGAGGATGAAAATAATGGACTTAAAAGTCCTTTGTATATGGTAAAGTAATGTATAATTATTATCATATCTAAGTATTATCATCCATACCAGGCTGTTTAGAGTAACAGAGAAGCCTTTCTTTTCTCAAAATCTTCATCTACATGAAAAAATATTTTAAAATATCTTTCCTTTCATTAAAAACAATGCTTTATAGCAATGTTTATAAAGCTTTAGTGCTAAGAAGAAAATCAGAAGACTCAGGAGTTGTATTCTTTTATAACGATATTACAGTCTAATGCAGTTCACAAACTGCTGGTTCTTGAGGTAGAGAGGCAGATGACAAGAGAAAAAGAAAATGCGTAAGAAAGAAAACTCAGTTCACAGAAAGCATAGCCCTTGAAGTAGTTTAAAGTTTTACTGCTAATAATTGGTATTCATACACAAAAGTAACATAAAAGAAACAGTTTTTGTTTTTGTTTTTTCAAAGCCCATACATACACTACTTGGTCCCTAGGAACAACGTATTTGAAAAGTAGTTAATATGAGAAAATGGTTTGAAACTGTAATATTCGGGACAAATATAAATATCTTCTTATTAAGTGGTTTCAACTACATAAAGAAAGACTGTCCTGGGACTTCTTTGGATATGCTCATATTTTCAAGAATTTCTCTTAAAATCATTACTTACGTACTTAAACGTGTAGGGATAAGAAAAAATGAAAGTGGTTGATTACAACTTGTAGTTTTGCATGAGGAATGTCAGGGTCATATTTGGTTAAGCTTTACACACTTTGTCCCCTCCATAACATCAAATAAAATCAATTCATTGCTTAATTCCTTTGATAATTTTATGTTTGTGTTCAATACAGTAAGGCAGTTAGGTATTACGTCAAGATTAGGACTTAACTGTTTCACCAAGGGTTAAAAACAAAGCTACCAATTTAAGCCCCTAAAAGGTTAAAATACCCGCTAGTTCCATCTTAAAATCTACAATTTTCAATCAACACGTTAACTTGGATCGGAATTCTGACATTTGAATTATTCTATTTTAAGCTCCAAAAAATGGACACGCACAATTTCATGCAACGTCAAGGAGTTGTAAATTTAAATACACTTCTCTGTAATCTGGTTCACTTCAGAGTACAAATTCATTTAACCAAAAAAATGCCTTCATCGCCATATGCATTCACATGAAGCCACATGGGATAAATGCATTTCCACTTTAAAAAGTATCTACTTTGGTTCAGAAATGCCCATTTAAGAAAAACCTACACTGAGATAAAGTGGACATTTTTCTTTTAAAACTACGTGACAGGATTCCCTCTTGACCTCACGTTTCTCCCCGCCACTTATTTAAATTTGGGGCAAAATTTCTGATTAAATGACTGATCAAAGTAATGGGGAGAATTCTTCAATGCCGGCCAAAAGTGCTTGGAGTTTCAAACGCTGTGAGGGAGCATTTCCTAAGCTTTGGGCGACTTGTTAACGGAATCTTAAGGGCAAGGTCCAACCACACTTAGAATCAGCACGAAAATGACCATTTGGTAAAACTCAATTACACCCAGTAGGCACCTCCCCAGGCCCGAAACGGCACTCGCCCTTTCTGCTCAGCTAGCGCGGGACATCGCAACGCCCAAGGCCCAACCCGTCTCAACGGCGCCTGCGCAAAATCTCCCCACAGAATCAATTAAACCCTTCCTTAGGCCGGTCGAGGCTAATGGTTTTGAAATTACTGTCGGGTTACGCCTCACTTTAAAAAACAAGTAGGTATGACACAGCACACCAGAACGACCACTCACCGAGGTGGTCCTAAATTCAAACGACAGATTTAAGCTTCCTCTCGTGATTTATCTGGCGCTGCCGGAAGCGGAACTACCCCGGTCCTTTAGAGGCCAGTCCTTTTGGGAGCCTTGGAACCACGGTCAGAAAGGTTAGGACGGATCGTTTGGCTCTTGCCGGAAATCGTTCCGCCCGGTGAGGTTTCGGCGTGAGACCCGAGGAGGGCGGGGAAGAGGCGTGACGGAGATTTCTGAGGTGTAGTAGCCTGAGGTGCCCTTATGTGGCCCTATAGCTGTTACTGAAGGAAGTAGCCTACGTCCACGCCTACAACTGAAGTAACTTGACGAACACCTCACCCCTGCCTCCGGGATGAAAGTGGGTAACCTAGACCTGAATGGGCTTGACCATCTCACAACTGCTCGCGTGACGACCGCATTCGTGGCAGGTGAGGGCCCCAAAACTGGAGGAGAACCGGAGATGCGGAACCTGATCATGCCACGGTTGAGGCGGTGCTGGGCTTCTGCTTTGTCTCCTGTGCTCTGCAGAGCCTAAGCACGCGCTCCACCGAGGGGCATGTGCTGCAGCGAATGACAGCCTGGGCGTGGAGTGACAGTATAGCTTTGAGGGTCCTTTCGCGCCTTGATTTCTCCTCCTGCTCCTCCATGGCTTCCCTTTTTCATTTCTTGGGTTTGAGACGCCAGAAATGGAAGCTCAGCAGCTAAAAGGGAACTGTCGAGCTTCTACCCCACGCTGTTCCTGGCTCCACCGAAGTGATTAGCCTCGAGTTACGGGACTGCTGTGGGTAGAGGTGGCTTTTTAAAAAATTTTCTTCCTTAGTCCTTATCCCTCTCTGTCAACCCCACACCCACTTTAACAGAACAAAAGCCTCGTGTGTTGCAGCCTTTCATAGTAGGGACCGAGGCTGCAGGTCACTGCCGCACCTAATCGTTTGGAGGGCGTTGCAGCCTTCCGCGCCTTGAAGTCTCGAGAAAGGGCCAGGGTGGTGATCCCGGGATCTCATTCACGAGGTTCTTGACCTCTTCCTGGGAGTTTGCGACTCCTGGAGTCCTTTGGGTAGTAGGTGTCTTGCTGGAAGGCTTAACTATGGAAGTGGGAAGCGTAGCTGACCTTAGCACATAAAATCCTCGCTCTACACTGGGGCAGGATTTTGTTTTGCTATTGTGAATTCTTTAATGAAATGGCTAATTTTTTTTTATTTGTCTTAGATAGATAAAATAATGATAGTTGCCATTAACTGAGTCTTACGTGTGCCGAGTGCTTTACATATTTTGTCATTCGTTCCTCTCAACAATTCCAGGAGATATGTTAGATTATTATCACCATTTTACAGAGTTAGAAATTGAGGAGCAGTCAAGCAACTTGCCCTAGTAAACAGTTGTAAGTAAACGTTTGAATCTTTGTTAAAAACCAGATCCGTCTGCCTTCAAAATCTGTATTCTATTGTCCCGTCCTGTTCTTCCTTGATTTCAATTTCTTCACTAACATTTTCAGTGTCGGAGAGTATTCATTTTAAAAAAATTGGTGTGCCTACTTATATGTCTGACAAAAGTTAGACATGATCTCTGTCTTTATGTAGCATTGTGATGCAGAATTAAGTAGTACAGAACTCAGAATGCTGTACTTACTGCAGCACAGGTTTATTTAAAGCAAAGGACTAAACCTACGTGCAGAAAATTTTAGAATTTTAAATTCATATAACTTTCAGAGTAGTTGTTGTGAGAGTATTAAACTGAACAATTGGTAGAACATTTGTTGATTACCCAAATAAGTGCTATGAACCAAGTTAAGTAGCGGGAATATATAGATTAGGTCCTCATTCTCTAAGAGCTCCCATACAACCACAATATAGACAGTGTTATGGACTATTAATTTTCTCATGTGGAAGAGGAATTGTGTTTATATAGGAAGATGTTCTTATTTTTAGGAGATGCATACAAAAGTACTTAGAGTTGAAGTGTGTTGATACCTAGTACCTTCAAATGGTACAGCAAGTGTGTGTGTGTGTGTGTGTGTGTATAAATAGCAAATATGGCAAAATGTTGGCAATCGTTAAGTATAATGGTGGGCATATGGATGATTAATAAACTGTTCTTTCAACTTTTGTAAATATTTGTAATTTTTCATAATAAAAAGTTGGGGAGGAAAAAACCCAACTCTGATGGAAACAGATAAGTGAAAAGATAGATCCAAAATGCTGCGGAACATAGAAGATGGGAGAGGGTTTTTACGTATATTTAGGGCTTATCAAAGGTGTGATAGTTCTCAGGAAAACCTTCATTGAAGACCTTCCAGTTGGTTTTTGAATGGGGCATAGGAACTTTCAAGGAGAGCAGTGAATTCCAGGCATAAGGAAATGCAGGTTCAGCAAAAAGGTATTAAATGAACGTTTGAAGAAGGAAAAAAAAAAAAAAAAAAATCAACATGAAGGTTGTGTGGAACTTGGAATGGGCTTTTTCTGTGTAGTCTTATAAATGAACCAGATTGCCTTTGCCAGCCTGCAGAAGCTTATTTATTCCCTATTACATGGATGTACTATTAGTGCCCTGGAAAGGAGACACAATTTATAACAGTGTTTCCAATGCTTTTGGAATTTCAGGAAAACTGGTTATGTGTTTGCGTTCAGGCTGAGCAGCAGGAGCAGGAGCTCCCATTTCCTCTGATTTTGAGAGCAGAGATTTACTAGTTTATAGTTGGGCTCCTGAGGGAACCCATGGAAAGGGCTACAATGATGGCTTGGAAATATTAAGTTCAGGTAAGGGGCATCTGAATACTAGGTGGGACTGATGGATGATCCAGGGTGTTATTTTGAGGATCAGGTAGCTCTGGCTGTGACCAGTAAAGGTATGAAAGGGAAGAATGATTATCCCAGGCAGTAGTGTTCATGATAGTCTCAAGCAGTGTGGTAAGACTAGAAAAGATGTAGAGGTCTCCAACAACAACAGTGGCAAAGGGGAGTTTCTGTGACTCATTAGACAAGAGGTAAGTAGATACATTCTAAATTGAGTTATTTATATTTGTTCCTTGCCAATTAAATTTGTTAGAAAACTGTCATAACAACATTTAACAAGATATTGAACAACTAACATTTACTGAGTGCTTAATATGTGCTATTTGCTGTGGCATCTGTATTGTAATTTCATTGTCAAAACAATATGTGAAATTTATAATCCCATTTTACAGATGATGACTGGAGAGGTTCAATAACTTGACTAAGGACACAGAGCTGAGCAACTTTCAGAAAAAGTTTTCAAATCCAGTTTTGAGTCTAGAGCAATTGTTCTTATAGTGTGATTCCAAGATGAGCAACATCAGCATCACCTTGGAACTTTTGGAAAGGCAAAATATTGGGTCCCACCCCCAAAGTTTTGAGTTTAGTGTTTTAACAAGTCCCTACAGGTGATTCCGTTGCATTCTAATGTTTGAGAACTACTGCATTGAGTGTGGACATTTTTAGTAGCATAACACTCATTTCAGATTCTTTTAGATTTATATGTTAGAGTCAGTAGGGAGTTTGGTTTATAGGAGTGTTTATGGAAACTATGGTTTATTGTTTAATATATGCCAAGCACTTATGCTATCCCACTTAGTCTTTACAGATGTTACTATTCTCCCTTTTTTATAGACTAATAGCAACTAGCATAAGTCACTAGCTACGAAGTGACAGATTAAAACAGATGTACCTGACTCCAGAACATTCCCCTTCTACTATCGAAATATTTGAGCTCTTTTTAGATGGAAAGAGTAAAAAACTTAAAAGAAACCAAGAGATATTTGCCATTTGATAGAAAACAGAACTGAGATCAACTTATCCACCAACATCAAGTTTTACAGCAACTGGAAACTTTGTTTTTTTTTTTTTGGTTTGTTTTTTTCAGTAGACATTTTTTACATGTTAAATAATGCAGAGGAATAGAACAAAAGGCATTGATTTATAAAGTAAATTATTTCTACTTTTATTTTTAAATTGCAAATTATTTTAAATGTAACACTGTAATTTAAAGATGGTTAAAGTGAAGGCTAACTGGGTAAATTGATTTTAATGTCTACTGGGGAGTCACCAGTTATACTGGAATTAGATCTTTAGGAATAGAACTTTTGGAGTTATGCTTTTAATTCTACCTAGCATATTGTTTGACTTTTAAGAATATTTGATCAATTAATTTCTTTTACTACCAGTAATCAAATGAAGCATTTGTTATGTAGTTTCATCTTGGTATATAATTAATTTTAATATGACCAGGAAACAAGTACATGTAAACAACTATGGTAAGGAATATTTTGAGATGATACTGCTCTTATATGATGGTTCTTATTTATTTATTTACTTATTTATTTGAGACAGAGTCTTTCTCTGTTATTCAAGCTGGAGTATAGTGGCACAGTCATAGCTCACTGGAGCTTCAAACTGTTGGGCTCAAGCGATCCTCCCACCTCAACCTCCCAAGTAGCTAGGATTACAGGTGCGAGCTATGATAGTTCTTTAACTGATACTCATGGATGCCTGGTTATGTGGAAGAGTTTGAATGTCAGTGAATCACGTAAAATTGCTTGCAGAATTTAGTGCATATGTACTTTCTTTTTTTCTGAGGAGAAGATCCATAGATTTTATTAGATTTGTTAAAGAGTTTTCTACTTCTACACGTTTAAGAGCTGCTATTTAATGAAATCTTGTTCTGATTCTAATCTTTTTTTGTTCTTTTATGTATGAGACCAGAATATAGAATTGTTATGTTCCCTAAAATACCTGTTTACAGACAGCTTTACAAATTGACTTAATGTAATTTCAGATTAATATTTGTCAGTGGTTTTTAAAGCTGCATTCCATCTGTCTGTTCTTTTCCATTGCATTCAGATATTTCGTAACTATGTGCTAACAGATTTAGCTTTAATATAATTTTGTTATAATTTGAGTAATTTTCTCTTGATTTAGATATTTTGGGATGAAGAATTTAATGTGTAGTCTTTTTGTTAATTCATATGTTTGTCAAGTTGCTAAGATGTATACTACTGAGGATCAGTTTTAGTTTCTTAATTTTTTGTTTTTATTAATTATAAGTAATTTTCTTATGGGAGAAATTGTATTTTCATTTTGACAATATACATCAAGTTATTGGTGCTTATTTTACAAGAGTCATTAAAAATTATTTTTTACAGGAATGTTTTTGGAGTGCACCTCCCAAAATTAGTTTTTTCATTGCATTTTAGGTAAGAAGATTGCTGTATCAACTCAAGAAAGCAATAGCCTCACTGTCTTTGTATTTTGAATTGCAACAACTTTGATATCAACAATGAAGCAATGATATCTAAGAACAAAAGAGTATTGGCCAACAGTCATCATAATATCAAGTGATTGTATAAGCAGAAACAAGCTGTCGCAGACCTGTGTGTCAGCTAATATATGGAGAATGCTTTCTTCTGATACTGTTTACTTAGAGGCAGTTCTAATATAAATCATTTCAGTTATATCTACATCAAATAAAATAAAAATGAGTGAAGCCCCCAGATTCTTTGTTGGGCCAGAAGATACGGAAATAAATCCTGGAAATTATCGACATTTCTTCCACCATGCAGATGAAGACGATGAGGAGGAAGATGATTCTGTAAGTTGTTTGTTTTTTCTTTGGTGAGAGAAGACCGATACAGTATAGGCTTTTTACTAATCACAGTTAATGTGAATTAATCTTAAGACTCTTTTTGTTGGAAAATTTTTAAACTGAAAAAGTATATTTTGTTTCATGACTGATGTTGTTGAATCTATGATGAATCAATAAATACAGTTATGGGTCAAACCTTTATGTTGTTTAATGATGTCTATTTTAGTTTCTTTCAGTGATACGCATAGTGTAACTCAGTGTTAGGTAAAAAAAAAAAAAAGTGGCAAAGAGAAACAGTAATCTGGGCCATAAATCCAAAAGCTTTCTTGTATGTAGAAATACATAACAAATAATTGATGATAAGTAGAAGGAAATAATTTTAAAGGTTATTTAAAGAAGAAGGATTACTTAACTAGATTCATTAAGCTTATGTTACCAATGTGAGTTCTGGTTGAACTGAAGATACTCATATTTATTAACTTCAGAAGTCTGAAAACTGAGTGGCTAAAAGGATAGGCTACCTAAAGTATCTGTGTGTTTGTGTGTGTGTCTAAAACTTGTTCTCTTTCTGATATAATGTTCTATCCATACTGGATCTTAGGAATGATATACATTTATTATGCTCATTTTGCTATAGTTTCATTAGACCAATATTTTTCTTACTCATCATTTAATTTTTTAAGTAGAGACTACTTTACTGTGAATACTGATTTAAAATACCTACAGTACGTGTTTGTTTTTCATATATTTCTAATTGGAAAGAGCATTTAGTTTTAGGAGAAAAACCTGTTTTATTTTGTAAAAATAGCAAAACCAAACATAGTGATTAGATGACTCTTTAAGCCCTTTTTTATAATAACGATCTTTCACAGTGGAGTTACACATATTTGAAATGCAAACTCTACTGTTAGCTCATTTCAAACCTTCAATGCAGAGCACCTTTGCTACCTCCTGCCCCTGAAAAACTAGATTTTCAGGCAGGCTTCTCTTACCAGCTCAAACTTTTCTTTATCTGAAGTTTTATCTAGAAGTCCTATAAGTAAAACATGAAAGCAGAGCATCTCTGGCTCACTTAAACTATAAAGCACTATTGATTCAGCCTCTACTACCTTTATCCCCTTTTTCTAGAGTTCTTCTGAATATAGTGTGAACACCACTGGCAGATCAAAGCCAGTCTTCTTACATGTGAAAGCTTTTATGTCTCATCTATATCTACATCCATACTTCTTTCCCATTCTTTCTACCTTCTATGTTTTAGTAACATCAACATTTTTATTTCCACATATTTATTGTCATACCATGCATCTTTGCTATTGTGTGTACTCTTTCACCTTTCTGAAATGACCTTATTTTGGAATACCTTGTGAATTATTTTTCATTCTTCCAAACCCTCCTCAGATTTCACATCATTCACTCTTTCCACTCTCCTTGCTTTTTTTTCCATCACAGATTGGAATACTTCTTCCTCATTACTGTGTCTTTACATTGGTGTATATACAGTTGTCCCTCAATATTCATGAGGGATTGGTTCTAGAACTCCCTGTGGATACCAAAATCTGCTGATGCTGAAGTTCTTTTTATAAAATTGTGTGATATTTACATGTAAGCCGCATCTACCTATATGTTTTAAATCATCTCTAAATTACTTTAATACAATATAAATATGTAAATAGTTGTTATACTGTATCGCTTAGGGAATAATGATAAGAAATATCATCTGTATATGTTCGGTACAGATGCTTTTCCCCCCACAAATATCTTCAATACATGATTAATTGAATCCATGGATGTGAAACCCATAGATATGGAGGGCCAACTGTACTTCTTTTCCATGTATCACAATGTATTTTATTATTACTGTGTTCCCTGTTAGACTCAATGTACTTTGAGTACAGGTACGTCTGTATATCTAATCTTCAGCACATTGTGTGGTGCACTATTATCACTTTACAGAAGCTTGATTTTATTTGATCTATAGCTTTATATTCATAAAATGATTTATTCCAGATCATTCTTCTGTTTTTAATATTTTTCTCCCGTTTTTAGACTTCAAAGATGTGAATATAGTTTTTTTAGACATTCAACCTAACAAAATACCTCAGATCAGTTTAAAAAATTATCTTCGTGATTTTAAGGTTTTACCTAACAGAGAATCTCTGTTATTGTGTCTTAAGAATGTAAGTTTATTTATACATTTTAAACTTGAATGGTTCCTATTCATCTTAGCCATTGAGCAGATATTCATTAAATAGATTTGTAATACATAAGACTTAATATATTAGCATTTAAAAAAATTGTAAAGCAATGTGAAATGTTAGGTTAGAGTACATTTTTTGTCTGGGGAAATCTACCTTAGGAACATTATAATGAACTGTATCAAAACTTTTGATCAGGAAAGCATTGAATAAGGTCTTATATAAAAGTGGATGGTCAGAGGGATAAATACAGAAGATTCCAGGAAGGTTAGCATTTATAATCTATTTGATTTACCAGTCAACTGTAGTACAATTTTAACTCTGCATTTCATGAGTTTGAGGAGACCATACAGAAATATTGTTCTAGGCATAAAAAAAGAATTATTTAGGCTGGGCGTGGTAGCTCATGCCTGTAATCTCAGCACTTTGGGAGGCCGAGGCAGGCGGATCACAAGGTCAGGAGATCGAGACCATCCTGGCTAACACGATGAAACCCCATGTCTACTAAAAATATGAAAAAAAAAAATTAGCCGGGTGTGGCGGTGCACACGTGTAGTCCCAGCTACTCGGGAGACTGAGGCAGGCGAATTACTTGAACCCGGGAGGTGGAGGTTGCAGTGAGCTGAGATCACGCCACTGTACTCCAGCCTGGGTGACAGAGCGAGACTTCATCTCAAAAAAAAAAAAAATTAATTAATTCTGATATTATCCAATTTTATTTTTAGATATATTAAGAAAAAGCCCAGTAAAGCACTTTCGAGCCTAGATTATAATGTTGTATGAAATATATAAAGTATCATGGAAGAAAGAAGAATTGAAATGAGAAACTGAAGACAGCTTTTGTGTATTTGATAAAACTCTCAAGCGTTTAAATGCAAAGATCACCAAATGAATCTTGATTAATTTTATAAATCTAGGAGGTACTCATAAATTAGTTTCTATATCCTGCTTTTTAAGTTTTAGACTGAATCGTGGCCTTCGAGCTGTTACGAGGATGCCAGAGATCAGTAACCCCAATAAATAGGAGTATTGACTATGAAGACAGGAGGGGCAAAGAGACTTGACACCTCTGTTGCCAGTGTGGCTTTCTTTAAAATTTTCTTCCAGGTTGTCATTGGTGACCAACTAATATTCAAGTGCAAACTACAATAATAGTTTAATACTGTATAGCTTTGTAGTCAGGACTATGTCTTATTTTAGGCAAGAGAATTCTTTATCTTTCTACATAGAGTAGATGGGTTTTAACTGTTACTATACTTTACTGGTATGAGGAGGATAAATAAATGCTAGAGGTAGTTAAAGAGGGGGTATTTTTTTAGTTTTAAATTTCATTGAAAATAGCAACAATATTTGTTCTGAAAGTGTTTTTGTTTTTAAATTTTTTTCCAGACCTTTGTAGAAAATTGTTTTTTAAGTGTTTATTATAACAATGATATAATTTTTAAAAATTCCTTTGTTTGTTAATGTGTCCCTTTTATTGATTGATCACATGCCTTATCTACTTTTGGAAAACAAATGAAGATAGCTGTACTTTGGAGTTCATGTAAAGTTAACCTGATTTTTTGTTTCATTTTTGTTTTAGCCACCAGAAAGGCAGATTGTGGTTGGAATATGTTCCATGGCAAAGAAATCCAAATCCAAACCAATGAAGGAAATTCTTGAACGGATCTCCTTATTTAAATATATCACAGTAGTAGTATTTGAAGAGGAGGTTATTTTGAATGAACCAGTGGAAAACTGGCCTTTATGTGATTGTCTTATTTCTTTCCATTCTAAAGGTATTAAGGGGAGTGGGGGAGAAACTCCTTTATCTTCTCTGAGTATAAAACTAATACATATTAATTGTAGACTGTGAGATAAAACAAAAATAAACTTTAAGACACTTTCAGGGACAGGTGATATTAACATTTTGATGCATTTCTTTCCAGTGTATGTCTTCTCTGTGTGTTTTCTTTTAATTTAATGTCATAGTGTATGTGTAATTTTATATTTAACCTTTTTCACTATTATATCAAGAAGTTTTTTCCCCCACCATATCATTCTTAGATAATGTGGTTTTTAATAGTGGCATAGTATATCATTGTGTGGATATACCATAACATATTTAAATTTATCTAATATCCTAATATTTGGACAGTTTCCAGTTTTCACTATTAAAAATAAGGTTGTGTGAGCTCTTGTTTGCATCTGTAAGTTTCTTAGGACAAGTTCTTGAATTATTGAATATTTTAAGTCCCTTTCTAGCTGTATAGAACAAGATCTATCATTTTTCATATACATATTCATACTTCATTTTTAAGAACTTAATAATTTGAGATTTTTAGATATTCCTTGCTATATTTTATTAATCAAACTGAAATATCAATTCAGCTTAAGTATTATGTCATTGTAAAATCCACTAATCAAATTATTGCTGAGGGTACATCTGAAAATTCATAGCCTAAGAATCTGTGAATTAAGTGAATTTCCCACTAAGAATTACTAATTGAAAAGATGTGCTCTCGGTTGTAAATGTATTCATATTTAATCATCTCTTGTTACCAAAATATGTTGTCCTGAGCTATGTTAAAGTCTTACTTCAGCAGGAAGAAGATGGAGCATGGTTGTGCTACCATAGCCTAAATTGATGTTCATTATTTCATAGAGAAGTCAAGACACTGATCTTTAAAGACTCAGGCTGCTCATTTTAGAGAACCTTAAAACTTCTTCCTCCTTGAGAGTAAAGCATTCTTCCCTTACCCTCACATGGTTCTTCCTATTAATGCTATATTTGCCTGTAAAAACTAGGTGCTATAGCTAATGTCATATTCCACATACCATCTCTTGGTAGGGAAAAAGTTTCTCTTTAACAAAAACAAAAGCAGGAAACGGTGTAGGTGTTTTCTATTTGCTAAATTCTGTAAGGAGGCTTCAAATCATAGACATCGAGACATTTTTACAAGCAATGAATTCTGAGAGTCTTTACAAAACTTGCAGGATTTGTAATTTGTGGCTAAGTGATTCTTGATATAAAGTATCTGTATTTAAATTTCGAAAACTAAGAGGAGTTTAGGAATAAATCTGGTTTAACTGGCCACAGTTTTTGTTTTGTTTTATTTTCAGCATGTTTTAATACTTTTTCTCTTTATCCTAGTAGTGCTGTAAAATATAGTCTCTTCACAGGTATACTTAGTATTATATAGTTGAATACTAAAGTTATGTATGCTTGCTGATTTTTATCCTTTTCCATAGATATTTATTAAAATATTGCCTCTTAAGGAATAATAACAATAACATTTATTGAGCACTTACTATGTCAGGTACTGTGCTTAGTGCCTTATATCCACACTATTATTAATTCCTCAAAACTCTACTAGGTAAGACTGGTATAATACTCTTTTATGCTGGTACCAGAGGCTTAGAGACGTTAAATAAATTTGCCCAAGGTCACATAGCTAGTGAAAGATGGAACCAGGATTTGAACGCTGGTTTATGTCTTTAACTGTTACGGTATACAACTAATGATGTGTATTGATGGATAAAATTGGAGACTTTTTGTCAATTTTTTTTTTCCCCCTGGAGACAGGGTCTTGCTCTGTCAACCAGGCTGGAGTACAGTGGTAAAGTCATAGCTTCCTGTAACCTCAAACTCTTGGGCTCAAGTGATCCTCCCACCTCAGCCTCCTGAATAGATAGAACTACAGGTTGCGCCACTACCCTCAGCTGATTCTTTTGAATTTTTTGTAGAGATAGGATCTTGCTATGTTGCCCAGGCTGGTGTTGAATTCCTGGCCTCAAGCACTCCTCCCAACTCGGCCTCCCAAAGCACTGGGAGAGGCAAGAGCCACTGTACCTGGCCAATATAGAGAATAAAATATAATCATAAGTTTTTTTTAGATTTTGGGAAAGGGGAGCTGTTCTTAACTATATCTACTATTTGATTTGTTTTCATTATAATTAGTACTTTTACTAGTCTAGAAGTTTTAGGGAGTTAATTTCTAATATTTTAATGTTGACCGAGCAATAGCATGATTCTGCTCATATATTTTGAGCATATATGTCATATATGAATTAATTTTTGCTTGTATAGCTTTTTTTTTTTTTTTTTTTTTTGAGACAGAGCCTTGCTCTGTTGCCCAGGCTGGAGTACAAGGGTGCAATCTCCGCTCACCGCAACCTCCCTCTCCTGGGTTCGAGTGATTCTCCTGCTTCAGCCTCCCAAGTATCTGGGATTACAGGTGCACGCCACCACACCTGGCTAATTTTTTGTAATTTTAGTAGAGATGGGGTTTCACCATGTTGGCCAGGCTGGTCTCGAACTCCTGACCTCAGGTGATCCACCTGCCTTGGCCTCCCAAAGTGCTGGGATTACAGGCGTGCACCACCACTCCTGGCCCACTGTTTTTAAAGGTACATAAGTTCTTTGGTTATCAGCTAATTTATGTGTGTAGGCATCAAAGTATCTAAGACAAAAGAAGAGATGTTGAATATATTTTTTAAAAATCACCAGGTGATTCTGATACACCCATGCTATTTATATATAGAGTTCTCTTTGTGTATGAGGTAAATTTTACCTTATTTCAGGTGACTGACTAGTCGGACCTTGACTCACATGTCAGTGCTTCAAATTTGGTTATATAACCACTGGTTTGCTGTGCCTTAACAATCAAATTAGGAAAAAATAAGATTTAATATATAAGTTAAATCAAGGTTTATGTATATATTATTCCATACCTTTTATAGAAGGCAGTTATGTGTTAATGAAATTAATCTTTTATGGGAGGTGGCATCAATTCAAATTAATAAAGTATAGATGCTTATCTTGAGATTATACAGAATATGTTAATAATATGTATTCTTAGGATTTCCACTGGACAAAGCGGTTGCCTATGCAAAACTCAGGAATCCATTTGTAATCAATGACTTGAATATGCAGTATCTCATACAAGATAGGTGAGTGGTGAAGTTGGCTGAATTAAGGGAAGGAAAATTAACATTAATTTAGTACCTACTCTACGCTGACATGGCATCAGGTGGTTTTGCATTATTAATTCATTGTACTTCCAAAATACTCAGAAAGAGTTGTTTATTACCTAATTTTACAGATGAGGAATCTTCATAATTAGGAAGATTGATTAATCTAACCAAAGTCACAAGTAGTTCCCCAAGTAGTAGGACAGACTTCACCGAGATTGTTTAACAATTTCCAGAGCCTACTAAACCATTGAAAGTTATGAGCGCACTTTTTCTGTCATGGGACTGATGATGAAATTAGGATTTTACTCATTATAACTAGATTTTTTAAATGGTAAAGTATACCTATTTTGAAAAATATTATACTATATATTTTAGCATTCATTGAACAGGCAAAAAGCATGGATTGCTAATACATTATAAAATATGAGTGTATTTATGTATTTCATTCAATCGATGTTTCACTCCTATAGCTATTATAATCTCACCAGCATTCTATTTTCTAGTGTTACCATTACAATATGAGATTATATATACGAAAATGCTTTGTAAATATGAGACCCTATGGTTTTTTCACTCTGCTATTTTTTTCTGTTCTTCCAGAGAGTAACAATTATTAATATCTAAAATTTAAAACATTTTCTCTAGATTTACATATAAATTCATATATATGTATTTATATATATATACAGCTATAGCTATAGAAATGTATGTTTTAAAAGGTTTGAAAAGTAAAAGCATACTGAAAGCCATTTAATCTTGTCACTATATCTATCATATTTTTTTCTATAGAAAGCAATACATACACACAATCACATTTTACCAAATTAGAATCACTTTTCTCTAGTATACTATGAACATTTCTCCATGTCATTAAATACTATTTGAGCATAAGGCTTTTAATGCTGTTCTATCATTGTGATATATCAACTTTATTCAGCCATTTTTAAAATACATTTATGTTCTCAGTTTTAATAATTAGTATCCTAATAAGCTAGAAAAGAATTGTGCATAAATTTTTGTTCTTATTGCTGAATATTTCCTCAGAATACCTTTTTTCAATATTTGAAATGACATTTGTTTATTTAAAAAATAAAAAGGGTTGATATATATACCCTTTTTATTTGTAGAACAGTAATGTCTTTTAAGAAAACTACAATAATATATTCATTGTGAAATGGAGCAATAAAACCATAAGGATGTTTTCCTTTTTTCTTCAGGAGAGAAGTATATAGTATTCTTCAAGCTGAAGGTATTTTACTTCCTCGTTATGCAATTTTGAACCGTGACCCAAATAATCCCAAAGGTAAGAGTAAGAGATTTTAGGTTAGCTTCCTTTGCCACTTGACATACTTTTGGGCCACATTCTTACAGTAATTAACTGGAAGGAATTTAAAGAATTCATAGTGTTCTATTCCATTTAAAAAAAATAATCTAGGCCGGGTGCGGTGGTTCACGCCTGTAATCCCAGCACTGTGGGAGGCCGAGTCGGGAGGATCACGAGGTCAGTAGATCGAGGCCATCCTGGCTAACATAGTGAAACCGCGTCTCTACTGAAAATACAAAAAAATTAGCCGGGCGCGGTGGCGGGCGCCTGTGGTCCCAGCTACTTGGGAGGCTGAGGCAGGAGAATGGCGTGAACCCGGGAGGCGGAGCTTGCGGTGAGCCTAGATTGCGCCACTGCGCTCCAGCCTGGGCGGCAGAGCGAGACTCCATCTCAAAAAAAAAAAAAAAAAAAAAAAAAAAATCTAAACAGCCAAACATATTCAATTAAAAGGTGACACTGAGTTAAAAGGCTAACTAATAATTTAGGAATTATTTATCCTTCTCTTCTTTGGCCTACCTTTGACATATCTCTAAGAACCATGAGTTGGAATTTTGAAATTACATACGAGTGAATTTTTATTGATTAAGGGTGAACAAGTGATTTATCTATGACTATTGAATTAAGTATTAGAAACTTCATGCTACATGCTACAATGCCAAAAACTAAATACTGGCCAAGAATTTGGAAATACAGCTGGCCCTAGAACAGCATGGGTTTGAACTCTGCCAGTCTGCTTATTCACGGAATAAACATGAATTGAAAATACTGGATTCGTGGGTCCCACATATACTGATAGCCGACTTTTCATTTACATGGATTCTGCAGAGCCAACTTTGGGACTTGAGTATGTGAAGATTTTGGTATACGAGGGGGTTCCTGGAACCAGTCACCGCTTGTAACAAGGGGCAACAGTACTTCTAAGTATTTATTAGTATTTTAAAGCACTGTTTGCTCCTTTTTTTCTGGTATCTAAAACATAGCATGGAAGCTATACCTAACTTAGTCTGAAGGCAAGATATATGTTTGTCTTAAGAGTTAACATTCTGTGGCGTGAACTCGGGAGGCGGGGCTTGCAGTGAGCTGAGATCCGGCCACTGCACTCCAGCCTGGGCAATACAGCCAGACTCCGTCTCAAAAAAAAAAAAAAAAAGAGTTAACATTCTGTTCACACTTACTATTGTGGGGAATTTTGATGAATTTATTATACCTTAAACCATCTTTTATTAAAAACTAGAGGGGGCGCAGAACAAGATGTCCGAATATACCCTCCAGTGATTGTCGCACTCCCCACAGGAACACCAAATTATAAACTAGCAATGCAAGAAAGCACCTTCATAAGAACCGAAAAATTAGTCTACTCAGCTGGTGCCTCTGTGAACATGTCGGCAAGAGTTGTAGCATTCCTGGGCTTAGGGCGCCCCCTAGTGCTAATATAGCTGCAGTGACCTCAGGCTTCCATCATAACACTTACGTCTTTTTTGAATATGTGGAAAGCTTTCTCAAGAAGGATGGGCACAAAGAAGCCCAAACGGTGAAGACTGAAATAAATGTCTAACTTGTAAATACCGAGACATCAGTGAATGTCTACAAGCATCAAGAACATCCAGAAAAATGTGACCTCACCAAACAAACTAAATAAGGTACCAGTTACCAATCCTGGAATGATGTAGCTATGTGACCTTTCAGACAGAGAATTCAAAATAGCTGTCTTGAGGAAGCTCAAGAACTGCAAGGTAACATGGAGAGTGAATCAAAATTGTATCATGAGAAATAAACAAAGAGATTGAAATAATTCAAAACCATCAAGCCAAAATTCTGGAACTGAAAAATTCAGTTGACAAACTGAAATATACATCAAAGCCTCTCAACAGCAAAGTGGATCAAGCAGAAGAATTAGTGAGCTTGAAGACTGGCTATGTGAAAATACATAGCCAGAGGAGAAAGAGAGGAAAAGAATGAAACACACCTACAGGACTAAAGAGACCTGACAGAGGAGTCTGAACAAACTTCTCAGGTAGCACTTTTCATCTTTTTGGCCCACTCCTTTCTTCATTTTTCTTTGACAACTTTGGGACCTATGTAGTTAATAAGGGGAAGGGAAAATGTGTGTGTGTGTGTGTGTGTGTATATATATATAGAGAGAGAGCTTAAAAATAGCCTCAAAGGGACAAATCCAATAATTAGTGCTCTTAAAGAGAACATAGGGAGATCATGGTAGAAAGTTTATTGAAAGAAACAATAACAACTTTCCAAACCTAAAGAAAGATATGAATATCCATAGGTCATAGAAGAATATGAATATTTAACTCAAATAAGACATATATTAATCAAACTCTGAAAGGTCAAGGATAAACAAAGATCCTTAAAACACCCAGAGAATAGATGTATATAACATTTAAAGAAGCTCTGATACAGCTGGCAGCTGACATCTGAGCAGAAAGCTTATAGGCTAGGAGAGAGTGTGATGGCATTCAAAGTATTGAAGGAAAAAAAAAACTTCGAACCTAGAATATTCTATTCAGCAAAATTATCCTTCAAACATGAAGACATAATAGATTTTACTAAACAAACCTGAGGGATTCATGAATTACCAATATCCTGGAATTTCCTATCCTTATAGGATAGGATAAGAAAAAGATCTTACAGGGTCTCTAAGGAAATGTTTTACAGGAAATGTTAAAAGGAGTTCATCAATCTGATAGAAAAATACATTAACAATTAGAAATCATCTGGGCCAGGCGCAGTGGCTCACGCCTGTCCCAGTACTTTGGGAGGCTGAGGCTGGTGGATCACGAGGTTAGGAGATCGAGACCATCCTGGCTAACATGGTGAGACCCTGTCTCTACTAAAAATACAAAAAAAAATTAGCCGGGCTTGGTGGCGGGTGCCTGTAGTCCCAGCTACTCAGGAGGTTGAGGCAGGAGAATGGCGTGAACCCAGGAGGCGGAGCTTGCAGTGAGCCAAGATCATGCCACTGCACTCCAGCCTGGGTGACTGAGAAAGACTCCTTCTCAAAAAAAAAAAAAAAAATTCAAGAAATCATCTTAATGTGTAAAACTCATTGGTAATAGTAAGTGCACAGATAAGTACATAATATTCTAACACTGTCATTGTGGTGTACAAACCTCTTATATATTTCATAGGAAGACTAAAAGGTAAACCTATCAGAAATAATAACTACAACAACTTCTTACGAGTATAGAAACATAAAAATAGAGACAACAAAAAGCTAAAACATGGATGGGCGAAATGGAGTTAAAATGTAAAGTTTTTAAAATTTTCTCTTTCTTTTTCTTTTCTTTGTAATCAGAGTTGTCATCAATTTAAAATAATTGCTAATAAAATGTTATTTGTAAGCCTTATGGTAATCACAAAACAAAAACCTGTAACAGATACACAAAAAATAAAAAGAAATTAAAACATACTACCGGAGAGAATTACATACATATATATGTATTTGAGACAGGGTCTTGCTCTTCACCCATGTTGGAGTGAAGTGGCATAATGGCATTTCACCCATGTTGGAGTGAAGTGGCATGATCACTTTTCACTATAGCCTCAACTCCCTGGTGATTCTCCCACTTCAGCTTCCTGAGTAGCTGGGACTACAAGCACAAGCCACCATGTCCAAGTAATTATTTTTTGTAGGGACAGGGTCTCACTGTGTAGCCCAGGCTGGTTTCAAAACTCCTTGGCTCATGTGGTCCTCCTGTCTCAGACTCCCGAAGTGCTGGGGGCCATCATGCCCAGGCAGAAAATCACTTTCCCATAAAGGAATACAGGAAGGAAGGAAGGGAGGACAAAAAAATAAAAACCTCAGAAAACAAAGACCAAAATAGCAGAAGCAAGTCTTTACCTATCAATAATAACATGAATGTAAATGGGCTAAATTCTTGCATCAAAAGACATAGAGTTGCTAAATGGATTAAAAAATAAGACCCAACTCTATACTGTCTACATATGGTCATTTCAGTTGATGGAGAAAAAGCATTTGATAAAATTAAACATCCTTTCATGATAAAATCTCTCAAAACACTGGGTATGGAATGAACTTACCTTTATATGATAAAAGGCCTATATGACCCAACCCACAGCTAACATCATACTGAACAGGGAAAAGGTAAAAATATTTCCTCTAAGACTTGAAACAAGACAAAGATGTCTACTTTCATCTCTTTTATTCAACTTAGTACTGGAAATTATAGCCAGAGAAATTACGGAAGAGAAGGAAATAAAGGGCATCCAAATTGAAAAGAAAGGAGTTAAATTATCCTTGTTTATAGATGATATGATCTTATAGTTAGAAAATCCTAGAGTCTCTACCACAAAACTATTAGAACAAGTTCAGTAAAGTTGCAGGATACAATATCAACTTACAAAAATCCATAGCATTTCTATATGCGAACAGCAAACAATCTGAAAAAGAAACCAAAAAAAAAGTAATCCCATTTACAATAGCTACAAATAAATTAAATCCCTAGGAATTCACTTAAAGAAATGAAAGATCTCTTCTACAATGAAAACCATAAAATGCTGATGAAAGAAATTGAAGAGAACACACAAAAAAATGGAAAAATACTCCATTTTCATAGATTGAAAGAATCAGTATTGTTAAAATTGCCATACTACCCAAAGCTGTCTACAGATTCAATGCAGTCAGAATACTAAAGACATTCTTTACAGAAATAGAAAAAAAATACTAAAATTTATATGGAACCACAGAAGACTCAGAATAGTCATAGCCAGCCTGAGCAAAAACAACAAAACTGGAGGAATCACAATATTTGACTTTTAAGTTACACTACAAAGCTATAGTAACCAAAACAGGATGGTACTGGTATCGAAACATAGACCAAAGGAACAGAATACAGAATACAGAAAAAAGTACACACATTTGCAATTTACTCATTTTCGACAAAGTTGACCAGAATGTCCACTGGGGAAGGGACAGTCTCTTCAGTAAGTAGTGTTGGGAAAACTTGATGTCTATATGCAGGATCAAATTAGGCCCCTATCTTTCTCTATATACATAATCAAAATGGGTTAAATACTGAAATCTAAGACCTGAAAATATGCAACTACTAGAAGAAAACATTGTAGAAACACTCCAGGATATTGGTGTGGGCAAATGTTTCTTGAGTAAGACCTCAGAAACCCAGGCAACCAATGCAAAAATGTGCTAATGGGATCACATCAACATGAAAAGCTTCTGCATAGCAAAGGAAATAATACAGTGAAGAGACAGTCCACAGAATGGGAGAAAATATTTGTAAACTACCCATTTGACAAGGGACTAGTAACCAGAATATATAAGAAGCTCAAACAGCTCTATAGGAAAAAAACAATCTAATTAAAATATGGGCAAAGATTTGAACAGATTTTTCTCAAAGGAAGACATACAAATGACCAGTAGGTATATGAAAATATGCTCAACGTCACCAATCATTAGAGAAATGCACATCAAATCTATAACGAAATATCAATTCATCCCAGTTAAAACGGCTTTTATCAAGAAGACAAGCAATAAGAAATGTTTGTGAGGATGTGGAGAAAGGGAATACTGTTGGTGGAAATATAAATTAGTAAAGCCACTATTGAGAACAGAATGGAGGTTCCTCAGAAAACTAAAAATAGAGCTACCATATGATCTTGCAATCTCACTGCTGAGTATATGTCCAAAAAAAGAGGAAATCAGTATATTGAAGAGATATTTGCACTCATGTGTATTGCAGCACCACTTGGAATAGCCAGTATAGAAACAACCTAAGTGTCCATTAATGGATGGATAAAGAAAATGTGGTACCTATAGACAATGGTATACTATTCAGCCATAAAAAGAATGAAATCCTGTCATTTGCAACAACATGGATGAAACTGGAAGTCTTATGTTAAGTGAAATAAGCCAGGCAAGAAAGAAATATTGCATGTTTTCACATGTGGGAGCTTTAAAAAAAAAAAAGATGAACTCTTAGAGCTTGAGCGTAGAATAATTGTTACTGGAGGGAAGGGTTGCAAGGATGACGGGGATAAAGTGAGGATGGTTAATGAGTATAAAAATACAGTTATATAGAATGAATAAGATCCAGTATTTGGTAGCATAATAGGGTGACTGTAGTTCACAATAATTTATTTTATATTTTGAAATAACTAAGAGTGAAATTAGAATGTTCCTAACACAAAGAAATGATAAATGTTTGAGATGGTGAATACCCCAACTATTCCAATTTGATTATTAGACCATTGTATGCCTGTATCAGAATTTCACATGGACCACATAAATATATACAACTACTATATACCCATGATGGTTAAAAATAACATTTAAAAAAGAGATAAAGTAATCATCGTCTGAAGCAGGAAACTTTTCTTGTCTAGAGGTAAAAATTTAACTTTCTAATTGAATTGCTGGCTTACTTTGCATATGAGTTACTTTCTAACTTAAATAACTTCATGTTTTACGATATTTGTGATACGAATAATCTCACACAGTTTTCAGAAGATGGTGACATTCTTGAGTTACTTCTCAGCCTTGATATAATAATTTCACGTCTAACTTTGAATTCTGTGGTGTGGTAGTGTAAAATGGTAAGTCTGTAAAATTTTGAAGAACTATAGCTTTTAATGCCATATATATCATAAACGTTGACATATGTTATTTACATAAACATGTATGATTAAAATCAAGTGAGTACATTATCCAAATTTACTTTTCTTTTATGGTCTTTTAGTAAAAAAGCCCTTGATAATAATGTGGTGTCCTGATAATATAATAAGAATATGTGATATTTCTTGCAATCATGTTTGTTTTATAGAATGTAATCTGATTGAAGGGGAAGATCATGTAGAAGTAAATGGGGAAGTTTTTCAAAAGCCATTTGTAGAAAAGCCAGTCAGTGCAGAAGATCACAATGTTTACATTTATTACCCAACTTCTGCTGGTGGTGGAAGTCAAAGACTCTTTAGAAAGGTATAACCTTTGTAACTTTTGTATGAATACTCTTCTTTATACATTGTTGTGTAAGTGTTATTAAAAGCAATCAAGCATTTAATTATGGTTAAATATTGAACTCTTGAAAATGTATCATTTAGAGGTAAATTTATAAAACTGATATACTTTGTTAGAAAGGCATGGCATCATTTTAGTTATTTAATGTTGTTAAGCAGAATTTCTGCCTGCAGAATGCCAGGAAAGATACTTGACTTTTCTTTTCCCTCCCAATTTTTATATCTGTCAAACTAGAAATTCACTTAAGCAGTAGCAGTCTTTTAGAATAATGGCCCAGAAAAATAACAGCTCATAGAAAAAGTAACACTGATAACTTTACATACCTGAAAGTACACTTAATTATACTCATAAAATAAATGCAAATCAAATCTAGATATAATGACATTATATTACTTTTTGGATTGACAAAGATAAAAAATATTGAACTAGTTGAGAAATAAGCATAAGGGCAAACATTGTTGGCAGAAATACAAAGTAATGTAGCCTCTTAACAACATAATTTAGCAATGTATCAGAATGTAAAATGCATATACATGTATAAAAATTGATGAAAATTCGGCCGGGCGCGGTGGCTCAAGCCTGTAATCCCAGCACTTTGGGAGGCCTGCATATACATGTATATAAAAATTGATGAAAATTCGGCCGGGCGCGGTGGCTCAAGCCTGTAATCCCAGCACTTTGGGAGGCCGAGACGGGCGGTGATCACAAGGCTGAAGCAAGATCGAGACCATCCTGCAGCAAACCGGTGAAACCCCGTCTCTACTAAAAAAAAAAAAATACAAAAACTAGCCGGGTGGGAGGTAGGCGGGCGCCTGTAGTCCCAGCTACTCGGGAGGCTGAGGCAGGAGAATAGCGTGAACCGGGAGGCGGAGCTTGCAGCAGTGAGCTGAGATCCGGCCACTGCACTCCAGCCTGGGCGACAGAGCGAAAGCCGGGCGCGCGGTGGCTCAAGCCTGTAATCCCAGCACTTTGGGAGGCCGAGACGGGCAGATCACGAGGTCAGGAGATCGAGACCATCCTGTCTAACACAGTGAAACCCCGTCTCTACTAAAAAAAATACAAAAAACTAGCCGGGTGAGGTGGCGGCGCCTGTAGTCCCAGCTACTCGGGAGGCTGAGGCGGGAGAATGGCGCAAACCCGGGAGGCGGAGCTTGCAGTGAGCTGAGATCCGGCCACTGCACTCCAGTCTGGGCGACAGCGCGAGACTCCCTCTCAAAAAAAAAAAAAAAAAAATTGATGAAAATTCAAATTAAGAACACAGTGAGATACCATTTTAACATCCATTAATGTAGCAGGTATTAAGAAGCCTAACAGTAACAAGTGTAAACAAGGATGTAGAACAGTGAAAACTTACACATTGCTGATGAGACCCTACATTGTTAAAATAGTTGATAAAGATTTTTCATTATCTTCACAAGTTGAATATGAGCACATTCTATCACCGAGCAGTTCCACTTTTATTATATACCTTAGGAACACTCATACAAGTTTGCTGTTGCGACACATAAGAACGCTGAAAGCAATGTTGTAATCACCAAAGCTTGGAAAACAACCTAAACATACATTGATAGGAGAATGGATAAATTCTGGTGTATTTATACAGTGGAAAATTCTAGAGTAGTAAAAATGAACAAGCTTACATGCAGCAACCTGGATGAATCTTAGGAATATAACTCTTACTGTTCATTGTATTTCTATACTCTTTAATATGTAAGTTATGGTAACAATAGAGACTACTATAGTGCCAAGTATGTCGTAAGTTTTGTTAATTATTTGTGGATTAAAAATGTATTTGAAAATGTCTAAGATGGAAATAGATGGTTAATAAACTATTTGTCATTTTATCATAAAAATGAGGGAAATAATTTGCTTTTTTATATTGATGGACATCTTTTGTTTTCAGATTGGCAGTAGAAGTAGTGTTTATTCTCCAGAAAGCAATGTACGAAAAACAGGCTCATATATATATGAAGAGTTTATGCCCACAGATGGTACTGATGTTAAGGTAGGATTGATTAAAATAGATTTTAGTTTTATATTTCAAGTTTACCAATGATATCAGAAAAAGAAGTTAATCTTTAACTGTATCTAACCTTTATTCAAGATCTCTTTCTTTTTGATTAGGGATTCCTCATGTTTTGTACCATCAACATCTTTAGCAGTCTGAAGCCTATGGACTCTTTTTTAAGAGTAGTGTTTTTAAATGCTTTAAACATGTAAGATTATGACGGAGACAAATTTTATTAAAATATAATAAAATATTTAAAAACCAACTTTGTGTTACACATAATAAGTCTTTAAAGGGGCATTAAATAATAAGATACCAGGGATAAAGGTCTAATAACCTTCACAGTTTCCAAGCAGTGATTAGTGTAAGTGAGGTTTTGAGATCTGTGACAACTGTGATGTGATATAAAACGTGTCTGTCATTTTAGTTGGTGACAAATAAGGTCTTAATTGCTTTACCTTCAGCAATTCCCTCTCTAACTGGAATGTTTTCTAAAGTATAAATCTGAGTATGAATCCTTAAAAGTTCTCTAGTGGATCCTTATTGACCACAGGATAATAACCAGATTCATAATCCTGCCATACAAGATATTTCAGTGTCCTCTGTTTATCTTATAAACCTCATTTCTTACAGTATAAACTACATCAGATAACTTGCCAATACCTGAATACATCATGCTGTTCATGCCTCTTTCTTTTACTTTTCTTCTCTTATCTGCACTCAGATTCATACCCTCACCCTTTTAAAGATTTTCTTTTGGGATTTTTTTTTTTTTTCCTATAATAGTTATTTGCATCTCTCATTTGTTAAACTAAAACAATTTGAAGACAGCAATCACATTGTATACATCCTAGTATTTCCTCATAATACTCAGTATAATAGTTCTCTATAGAGAATGAAACTTCACTCTACCAATTTTGCCATATAATGATTACTTACAACCTTTCCCAATGAACTGAAAATTTGGGAATGTAAAATAAAAAGATATGTCTAATAGCCTGGATTCAGAACTAGTTTTTAGTTATTTATTTTCACTGGATTTGTTGTCTGCTGGTTACACACACACACATACACACACATATGTATTTATACATTTATTTAACATTTTTGAAAGGTTTATACAGTGGGTCCAGATTACGCCCATGCTGAAGCTCGAAAATCTCCGGCACTTGATGGCAAGGTGGAACGAGACAGTGAAGGAAAAGAAGTAAGATATCCTGTTATTCTCAATGCACGAGAGAAATTAATTGCTTGGAAAGTCTGCCTTGCTTTTAAGGTAAGATGTTATACAAATCTATAGATCCTTATAAAGGTAAATTCTAATTTTCTTTTTTCACTAAGACATTATTGGTGCTTATAATTGGAGAAGTAAACTGAGAAAGTAATTAATACATCTGAATGGTTCATGTATTTTTCAAGGGATTCTTGTAGTGCCAGTATATTCTTTTGTATTATATAAAAGAAAACCTGGTCAGTTTATTCAGAAATTAAAATTACAGAAATGACTCAACTAATCAGTATTTTAGGGTTATTGTCTAGTGTACTTTTTGAAACTGGCTTTAAGTGTTACTTTCATATAATTGGTAAGTTTTTTTGTTAAATGAAAACAGTTCTCAGTGGTCTAGCCCTGGCGATTGATTCTTGGCCTAATATATGATAAAAGATATTCATGAAAACAATATAAAAACATATCTTTCTGTTTTTTGTTTTTGGGTTTTTTTTTTTGAGACAGAGTCTTGCTGTTGCCCCGGCTGGAGTGCAGTGGCACGACCGGGTTCAAACTATTCTCCTGCTTCAGCCTCCAGAGTAGCTGGGATTACAGGCACCCACCACCACACCCGGCTAATTTTTGTATTTTCAGTAGAGAGGGGGTTTCGCCATGTTGGCCAGGCTCATCTCAAACTCCTGACCTCATGATCCGCCCACCTCGGCTTCCCAAAGTGCTGGAATTACAGGTGTGAGCCACTGCACCCAGCCAAAAACATTTCTTAAAAAAAACTTTTTTACTTTTGACATTTGACTAATTCTCTCAATCTATGTTGTTAGGTTTCTTCCTAACTACTGTATAGTAAAGATTTAAATAGAAATAGTACAACCTTCATTTAATGAAGGATAAAAATTTTACCTTTTTGAAATCTTGCCTTGGATCTATAACTTAAAGGCTAGTATATATTACTGGCTATTAAACAATAAAGAATTACTTTGTGCCTTAATAATTTGAAGTGTCTTTCATGGAAGGAATGTTAGCCTGTAAATAAGTTTTAATAGCTTTATAGAAATCTTTTTATTATGCCAGGATTCTGAAAGCTGTGACAAAAAAATCACATTCTACTAATACCTGATGATTGAACATCAAATGTTAGATCAGAAAGTTCTTAGAGCCTGAGGGGCAAATTCATGCCTTTTGGCCATTTTCTTCTCCCAAATAAAGTAAATTTATTACAGGTGTTCATGAATATGTGGTATTGGGGGTTTAAAAGATCACAGGATTTTGACTGGGTGTGGTGCCTCACACCCGTAATCCCAGCACTTTGGGGTTGCTGAAGTAGGTGGATTACTTGAGGCCAGGAACCCCAGACCCACCTGGCTAACATAGCAAAACCCTGTCCCTACTAAAAAATACAAAAATTAGCCTGGTGTGGTGGCACATGCCTGTAGTCCTAGCTACTTGGGTGGCTGAGGCACAAGAATTCCTTGAACCTGGGAAGTGGAGGTTGCAGTGAGCCAAGATTGTGCCACTGCACTCCAGCCGGGGTGACAGAGTGACACTACCTCTCAAAACCAAACAAAACAAATCACAGGATTTCCTCTGGAATATGTCCTCAAAACTGTTCTCCATGTCTGCCATCCCTCCTTTTTTTTTTTTTTTGATTAACATGATGTAATTTCTGCTAGTGCCAAGTTTTTTGTTTTTTGTTTTTTGTTTTTTTCAGATCCTTTAACAATTTTGCTTTTGTTTTTAAATTAGATGTTAATTGAAGAACTTTGTGATAGAATGTATTATTTTGGGGCCTCTCTAGCCACATATGCATTATTGTTCTACATCTACTTTATGATAAAAGACTTAAATAATCATATAGCTTCTATAATGTATTTTCAGAGTACTCAAGTTACAAATAAATAATTTCTTTCATTTCTTATTGTGAAGTAAACCAATATATAGTAATATACTTTTAAGCATTTATAAAATTTGATATGTTCTGATAGGACTAGAAAACTGTGAATCTTAATAATTTAAATAAAACCTTAAAGTTTATAACTTATTTTAAATAGCAAACAGTTTGTGGCTTTGATTTGTTACGGGCCAATGGACAGTCCTATGTCTGTGATGTCAATGGCTTCAGTTTTGTGAAAAATTCCATGAAGTATTATGATGACTGTGCAAAAATACTTGGGTAAGAATTTTTTAAATTTTCTTTTTACCTTCATATACTAGTTTTTCAGAAACCAAATAACTGTTAACATTAAATGGTCAGGTTTTTTAAGCCTTCTAGAGTAAAGATCGGTGTTCATAAAATGATACCCCCGAAGACTATGCCAGATCCTGAATTATATTTTGGCTTATCAAAGACAGAGTAATTTATGATCAGTATAGATGAAAACCTTTAACTTCATACATTTACAAATACTATAACATGTTGATCATTAGTCAAAAGTTTATTTGTTAGAATACATTATTCCTCGAATTTTTGCCATGTAACTACAGTGGAAAGGTTTTCTTCCACTTAATGGACAAAATTAACATTCATGAAATAAATAAACAGAGTAAAATAGAAATATTTAGAATTCATGACTCTTTTGCATGACAATTCGTTCTACAAGCATATGTTACTTGATGATATTTTCATAAGATTGTCAAGTGAATGTAAAAAAATTATTGTAGGTAGAAATGCCGTTTTTATATTCTTCAACCTGTTTTCTTTATACTTTGATTCAGAAGACTAGCAAGGCAATAACTATTTTTAAGACATTTCCAGGTATATATGACAAATCCATAGGAAACTTACATTAAAAAATGTTCGATAATTGGAGCTAGCTTTTTTACTGGTTAAGTATCCCTTATCCACAATGCTTGGGACCAGAAGTGTTTTGGATTTCAGATTTTCAGATTAAGAACATTTAACCCATAATATGTTTCAAAGATTTACAAACTTACCCTTAAAGTGATGTTAGGGAGAGTTTACTAAATTTTAGCATAAATAAATGCTAAATTTAAACAAAACCAAAAAGTAAACATTTTTCCATTTTTAACCCTATTGGTATAGTAGTGATTTGTTAAGATGAACACAATATTTATAGTAGCATTTTAGGTGTTCAATAAACTGATAAGAACTTATCAGTAGCCACACAGAAGAAACAATCTTGAATTTCAGAATGTATGTAATTAGATATGATGTAATTGTAGTGATTTCTTTGAATCCAATGCTGATTGATATTTTAAAACTAAAGCAAATAATCTCAAATTTGTGAAATCCCGTTGATGTGTCTAATACATCAATTTAGAACTGCTGATTTTTATTTTTTCTTGATGAGAATTTGATTCTGTGGGTTATTTTTTATGTGATGTAATCACTAGATATTTTAAGTCTTAAGATTCTCTCTCATTATCATTAAGTACCCAGTTTTGTCTTAAAATATACTAATTTTAAGTATTTTCTTTTTTGTCTCGAAGAAATATTGTAATGCGAGAACTGGCTCCACAATTTCATATTCCGTGGTCAATACCCTTAGAAGCTGAAGATATCCCAATTGTACCAACTACATCTGGAACTATGTAAGTCTGAATTGTTTTCATTTAGAAATTGAGTTCCCCTTGTCATCTGTGCTATTAGGATAAAAATTAAATTTCCGAATGATGATTAGACACTTTACTGTGTATGATTTCATATGATTCAGCTTAAAGATAAAGTAGTAGATTATACGTATTTATAAGGGTCCACTAATTGTTACAAATAAACTACTGAAACATGCCTGGATAATTATAGAATTGTTTAATCAAGCCATAAAAATTAAAAAGGTACCAATAGGTATATTACTTAAAGGTTCACAGTGGTCTTACAACTTTTGCTCTCTCAAGTCATATCTTGCATAATTATACCAGTATTGCGAAAATGTTTCATAACATTCTATTACCGAAAATTATTCCTTTAAATTCATGTCAGTTGACTGAATGCTTTTTTTCCCACAACTTAGATATTTATATTAACATGTTAAATATCCTGAGATGTACTGATGATAGGGGGAACAAATTTTATTTTTAATCAGCATTTTTCATACTGATTTAACACAAAAGTGTTAAATAAAATTTTTTCAGGTAACTCAGCTGATATCCTACAGGGTTATGTTCTGCAGTTCACACTTCAGCAAACACTAGATTATAGCTCTTAATTCTAGCATGCTTCTAAGATGATTTTATCTTCCAGTAATTTGAGTTTTAAATACTTGTTCTCCTTACATGGGCAAAACTTAGCAAATATATAAATATAGCAACCATCATGTAAAGTTTTATTTTGATTTAATGAAGTCTCAGTCTGTAATGATCTAATGCTACAGAGCAGATATTTAATAAAGCTCAGAAATTGTAGTCCATCTACTTTTATCCCAGAGTTAAGGTAGCCATTTCTAGAGAAGAAAAGGTTATATTCTATTATGTAGCTTAATATCACCCCCCTTCCCCAGCTTCTTAAGTTCAATTTGAATTTGATTTCATAAAGTTAAAACTAGATAGTTGTAAGTATTATTCTTCGTGGGAAAGATCTTGAAATGGTAAAAGATGGCTCTAAATAAATGATTAACTGTTCATATTAATCTGAATTATACAACACAAATCTTTTTTAGAGAATTAAGAACATACATATTTTTTCATTTTAGGATGGAACTTAGATGTGTCATAGCTGTTATACGTCATGGGGATCGAACACCAAAACAAAAAATGAAAATGGAAGTGAGGCATCAAAAGTATGTTTTAAGATAAATAATTTAGCATGCATGATATAATTTTAAGATTTCTGATAAGTGATCAACTCTTTTGATTAATACATCATATAGAAAAACTTTTATCTACTCTCTCTTGGCCATTTATATTTAAACCAGTGGATGCATACAAAATCCATTTAAAATATGTTCATTAGCATCTAAAATTATTGTGGCAATATTCATAAATATCATCAGTCTGCCCTGGCTTTCATTTATTGTCACAAAAGTGTTCTATTTAATCTTTGCTTATCACTCTCTTGTATTGCATTCTGAGAGTGAATAATCCCTCAGCCTTTTAGAAGAAAATTCGTAGAATGAAAGTTTCTGTTATTTCTATCCAGTGTTTGATTTGGAGATGATAAAATTTGAAAACCCTGAACCATTAAGTATGTGTTGACACAAGTAATTTTCAATGTGTATGCAATGACTTCAGAAAATATATAATATTATGAACTATAATTGTATGTTTGGTTTCCGTGAAAAAACTTTGAAAAGTAGTATGGTGATTACTAGTTTGGTATCATTTAGGAAAGTACCAAGTTTTATCAATCAAAGTTGAGCAGCAACATGTATAGTGAAAGAGGAAACACAGTACTTGAAATCCTTAGATCCCAAGTTCTAGTCCCATAGCTTATCATTTATTATTTGTTAGTTTAAACATATATTGGTAATGTTAATTATTGCAAGTGACTAACAGTGTTCTGTCTTTTTTTATAAGATTTTTTGATCTTTTTGAAAAATGTGATGGATATAAATCAGGGAAATTAAAACTCAAAAAACCAAAACAGTTACAGGCAAGTGTATTTGCTTTCTTGTTTAGTTTTAAATTTTTTAATGGTGAAATTACATAAAAATTCAATTTTCTGTTAATTTATTTTATAGGAAGTGCTAGATATTGCACGACAGCTTCTTATGGAGCTGGGACAAAATAATGATTCTGAAATTGAAGAAAACAAGCCAAAACTTGAACAACTTAAGACTGTATTAGAGATGTGAGTATCTTTTTGAAACCCTTAATTGTGATACTACATATAGCTCTTCTTTTTTATGTATGTGATTTTCCATTTTAATTACTTTCACAGTCTGATCTTTTTACTCTTTGTTACTATAGTTGAGACGTGAAGGAAAATCTAATGTGAAAAAAATAGATTGTTGTATTGAAGGTTTTAGCTTTAGTTTTAATTTAGGTGAGAAGATTAAACAAGGACATCAGATTTGTGTCTTCTGTGAAATACTGCTTGGAATCAAGGCCACATTGCTAACTTGACCATAGATTCATTGCAGTTTAAATATAAAAAATTTGAACTTTGCCTTAATCAAGTAAAATGGATACCCATCAATATTCCTGTTATAGCTTTACATTTTTAACCTCTTATAATCTTATTTCCTTTATTTCTTAAAACACATACATCTGTGTTTTTACATATTTCTGTACTTTATCTCTTCAGAGTTGTCTTTTTTTTTTTTTTTTTTTTGAGACAGGGTCTTATTCTGTCACCCAGGCTGGAGTCAGTGGTATGATCTCAGCTCACTGCAACCTCCCCCTCCCAGGTTCAAGCGATTCTCGTGCCTCAGCCTCCCAAGTATCTGGGACCACAGGTGCACGCCACCATGCCTGGCTAAGTTTTGTATTGTTAGTGGAGATGGTTTCACCATGTTGGCCGGGCTGGTATTGAACTCCTGACCTCAAGTGATCCACTCACCTCGGCCTCCCAAAGTGCTGGGATTACAGGGTTGAGCCATGGCACCCATGCCTGTAATTTTTAGAAAAACATTTTTGTTTTTAATGTGGTTAGAATGATTATATATGGTGCAATTTTTTTTTTTTTTTTTTTTTTTTTTTTTTTTTTGGCTAGAATATTTTGAAGAATTAAACAGGCGATTACAAATAAAAGGGAGCATGAATATGTGAGAATTAGTTTTTCCCTACATTGTCTATTCTGCTTATCATTTTATTTTTCAGGTATGGTCATTTTTCTGGAATAAATCGTAAGGTTCAGTTGACCTATCTCCCTCATGGTTGTCCTAAAACATCTAGTGAAGAGGAGGGTATGTCATTCTTAATGCTTATACAGTAGTTTTATTTATATGTAGTAACTTGTTATTCACTGTTGAATACCTTTGGACCATCTTTTGCTTAGTAGTTTAGGACTGGCATGGTGAGGAAAAATAAAGTGGAATTATCTTAGCTGTGCTTCCTTTAAATAAAGGATACATTTTTACATTACCTATTCTTTAAATAAAGGATAGATTTTTATTATTTTGAAAACTGCATAGGACTTCCTTTTAACTGTGAGATTGTTTCAGAAAACATATTTATTTATAACTGTTATTTAATGGGCCCCTTACATCACCTTTTGATAGCAGAGGGCAGAGTATCTAAGAAGAAAGCCCAAGAAGTACAAAAAGACTTTGAAAAAATATACAATTAACCTGTTTTTAAAATAAATGGATATTTTCTTCCACCCAGTAAACCAGAGTAAGTGTTTAAACAAGTTTGGTCTCCTAAGAGCAGTCAGTATCCACATTTATAAATACATTATTTGCCTTACAAAAGAAAAGGGTAGGGATTGAGAAAGTCATTTCATAGAGAAATGCAGATGACCAATAAACTAATAATGATAGTAATAAGAATCTGTCTTGCCTATCATATTGGCAAAGTACTTTCTTTATTTCTGTTTTAAACTGGTAATAAAATGTGCTGATGAGAATTCATTGAGACAGGATTTCAGTCTATAGTAGAAGTATAAATTGGCACAGTTTTTTGAAATGTAATTTGGCAATATATCAAAAACTTCAAAAGATGTTCTTATGCTTTGACCTGAATTCTGCTTATCAGAATCTAACCCAAAGAAGTAATCAGATGTTCAGGGAAAGATTGATCTAAAGGGATATTTATAGTGGTATTACTTATAGTAACAAAAATTAAAGTAATGATTATCTTAAATGCAGACACAAATTTATAATAATCTTTATATATATATTTTAACATTTGATATATTGCTCTTATCACATTTTGTGGTTAATAGTAATACAGGTTAATTTTCTATATCTTAGTATTTATCATCAAAAACATTCTGTAAACAAATAATTTTAAAAGTTAGGTAACTAACTTTCCTTCCGTAAATTAATATTGATCTATATGACAAAGCTCACAGAGCTGCTAACTAGCTGCAGGTGAAGGGGTGATTTCCTCTCACCTTTTAAAGAATCATAATATTAAGTTCTTTTAGTGCTTATAATGCTTATTTTTGAATTACTTTTTTTTCAGAACCCAACACAGATCTTAATATCATGAAAAGGAGTAGGTCAAAATTAAGTACAGAAACTCATTAACTTATAGTATTTTCTTTGTCCAAGAAAATACTCTGATATGTAACATGCAGAGATTCCACAAGTTCAAATTTAAAAAGCTGCTCATGATTGCCTTTTGTTTGCATAAAATTTATTAGATTGTATGAAATTTATTAGATTGCATAAAATTTAAATTAGAATAAATGTTAGGCTCTGTCATCTCACATCTTCCTAAAAATGATGCAAATCACCGATTTCCAATCTTAAAAACGTGTATCTGGCCGGGTGCAGTGGCTCACGCCTTAATCCCAGCACTTTAGGAGGCCGAGGTGGGTGGATCACTTGAGGTCAGGAGGTCAAGACCAGCCTGGCCAACATGGTGAAACCCCGTCTCTGCTAAAAAGACAAAAATTAGCCAGGCGCCTATAGTCCCAGTTACTCAGGAAGGTGAGGCAGGAGAATTGCTCAAACCCGGGAGGCGGAGGTTGCAGTAAGCCGAGATCTTGCCACTGCACTCCAGCCTGGGCAACCAAGCGAGACTCTGTCTCAAAAAACAAAAAACAACAACCAAAAAATATATATCTTCTTCACTTCAACTAATGTATTTTCTTTTATGAGACAGCACTGAAAAGGGTGCTTGATAACAAGGCACATAAAACCTGGATTCTGGCATCAAGGAGCTGTCAATCCAGCAGACATAGCACAACTAAATTAAGTACACTGAAGAAATTACTATGAAAACAGGCAAGGGAGAAACGTTACATCCCTGAAGAAAATTGGGAGCCATTTTTCTAAAGTATGAGAGAGATTTTCAAATTTCAGTAAGATTTAAACAGGAATAGCAAGGGAGTATTCCTTACCGAAGCAACTGCCTACAAACAGCATTAAGGAACATACATGCAACAACATTTAAGGAAGAAAATATCCTACATATGGGCCATATTTCACCACAGAAGAGAGCACAGACAAAAAATTAATCTTAAGTCTGTTTAAAAAAAAAACTTAACATTTGTTTTATTCATTCATATGTGTCATAGACAGCCGAAGAGAAGAACCATCTTTACTTTTGGTTCTAAAATGGGGAGGTGAATTAACTCCTGCAGGCAGGGTCCAGGCTGAAGAACTTGGAAGAGCTTTCAGGTGTATGTATCCTGGAGGTCAAGGTAAATCTTAGAGTTTTCTTTAATTTGACTAATTTCATAAATTGTATTTTGAAATCCTCATTTTTGATGTTATTAAATATTTATAGAAATACAATGAAATGAAAATATAGCTGAAGTGATTTGAGGATTTATTTTCAGGAGATTATGCAGGATTTCCTGGTTGTGGTTTACTTAGATTACATAGCACCTACAGACATGACCTCAAAATATATGCCTCTGATGAAGGACGAGTCCAGATGACTGCAGCTGCTTTTGCAAAGGTACAAATAATTTTTTTTTTAGAATTACTAGAGTTTTTAATCTAATATTGCATCTTAAAACATTTTTGGCTGGGCGCAGTGGCTTACACCTGTAATCCTAGCACTTTGGGAAGCTGAGGTGGTCAGATCACTGGAGCCCAGGAGTTTGAGACCAGCCTGGGCAACGTGACGAAACCCTGTCTCTACAAAAAAATTGAAGAAAAAAAAATGAGTCAGATGTAGTGGTTCACACCTGTAGTCCCAGCAGCTCAGGAGGCTGAGGTGGGAGGGACCACCTGAGCCCAGAAGGTCAAGACTACAATGAGCCAAAATCACGCCACTGCACTCTACCCCAGGCAACAGTGTGAGACTCTTGTCTCAAAAAAAAAAAAAAAAATTTTAACTAAGGAATATTTAAAAATTCTGTATTTGGAACTTTCAAGTAAAACCCTAAAATGATAATAATCAATTGTCATATTAATAAAGTTTATTTACTGTAAACTTACTCTATACCTTATGAAAATCAATATGTAACAAATATTATTTTACGTATTAATTTTTTAAATTCGTGTTTTCTTTATTTAATATGCTTAGGGGCTTTTAGCTTTGGAAGGAGAGCTTACGCCCATTCTTGTTCAAATGGTGAAAAGTGCAAATATGAACGGTCTTTTGGATAGTGATAGTGACTCTTTGAGCAGTTGTCAGCAACGTGTGAAGGCAAGGCTTCATGAAATACTTCAGAAAGACAGAGATTTTACTGCTGAAGATTATGAAAAGGTAGGTCTTAGCAAACTCTTTTATATTGTGAAATATTACACACACACACAGAAAAGTGATAACTGCATAAAACGTAAATGTAGAGCTTATCGTATTATAAAACAAATGCACATGTTATCATCCTCCAAGTAAAGAAATAGAACATTGGAACAACTTTGGCTTCTGTATGCCCCTTCCCAATCGCAACCCATTCCCTGCCTCCTCAAAAAAACTACTGTCCTGACTTTTTATATTCTTTTCATATCCAGAATACTTACTTGGATAATGAGTATAGTCTCTAACCAGTGTAGTCTCATTTTTGGCTTTTTTCTAACTTTAAATCTATTGATTTTATTTGACAAATTAAAATTATATATGTTTATAACACAACATGTTTTAAAGTATATATGCATTGTGAAATGGCTAACTCGAGCTAATTTATGTATTACCTCACATCCTTATTTTTTTGTGACAAGAACATTTGAAATCTACTCTCAGCAATTTTCAAGGATAAAATACATTGCTATTACTGTAATCACAGTGTTGTACAATAGAGCTCCTGAACTTATTCCTTTTATCTAACTGAACTTGTGTATCGCTTGACCAACATCTTCCCAACCCCTTCCTTTTCCAGCCTCTGGTAGCCATCATTTTACTCTGCTTCTGAGTTTAACTTTTTTAGATTCTACATATAAGTGAGATTACACATGTTTGTCATTCTGTGCCTGGCTTATTTCACTTAACATAATGTCTTCTAGGTTCATCCATGTTGTTGCTAATGATAGGATTTCCTTCTTTTTAAGGCTAGATGATGATATTTCATTGTGTATATATACTACACTTCCTTTATTCGTTCATCTGTTATTGGACAGGTTGATTCCAGATCTTATCTATTGTGAACAGTACTACAATAAACATAGGAATGCAAATATCTCCTTGACATGTGATTCCATTTCCTTTAGTTATATACCTAGCATTGGGATTGTTGGATCATATGGTAATTCTGTCTTCAGTTTTTTGAGCAATGTTCATACTGTTTTCTATAGTGGCTCTACAATATTAATTTACTTTGACTATTTTTTAAGGTTCACATTATAGAACATGTTCTATTTTATATTTGACTTCTTTTATTTAATATTTTATTTGTGAAATTCAACCATAGTAAGTAATGGTCATAGTTAGTTAATAATCATTGCTGTGTTTGTTGTATTCCATTTCAGGGTTGGCAGAACTTTTCTGTAAGACACCAGATAGTAAATATTTTATTAAAAAAAATTACACTTTGCAGTCCAAATATGGTCTGTTGCTTTTTTTTTTTTTTTTTAAACTGCCTTTTAAGCATGTAAAAACCATTCTTAGCCCATGGCCTGTGTGGCAGGCCACATTTGACCTGCAGGCTATAGTTTGTTGACCTATGTACTATTTTATGAACATATTACAATTTATATATGCTTTCTATTATTGTTAGAGTTGTGGACTGTTAGGATTAAAGTTGCCATGAATACCCTTGGATGCCACCTGTGCAATGAGCATACATTTCTCTTGGGTATATTGTAGGAGTGGAATTATTGTGACCATGGTATGCTTATTTACAATGTTAGTAGGTGATGTCAAACTGTTTTCTAATGCCATTGAGCTAATTTACAGTCCCACCAGAGGTCCATGATAGTTGTCATTGCTCCACATATTCTCCATTCTTGGGATTCTCAGATGATTCCATTTTGGCCATTCTGGTGGATATACCTAGAATTCACTTTATTGTGGCTTCAGTGTCTGTTGACCATTTAAATATCCTCTTGAATGAGGACAAGTCTCTTGTCTTTTTTCTATGAATTGTCTATGTTTGTCTTCTTGAAGGGTAGAAGTTCTTTATTCTGGATATGAGCTCTTTGTTATATGTAGATAACACCACCTACTCTGAGCCTTCATGTTGTCATGATGTCTTTTCTTTTCTTTCTTTTTTTTTTTTGTTTTTTGTTTTAGAGAGAGGGTCTTGCTCCGTGACCCAGGCTGGAGTGCAGTGGTATGATCATAGCTCACTGCGGCCTAAAACCACTGGGCTCAGGCGATCCTCCTGCTTCAGCGTCCTGAGTAGCTGAGATTACAGGTGCATGCCACCATGCTCAGCTAACTTTTTAAATTTTTGTAGAGACTGGGTCTCACTGTATTGCCAAGGCTAGTCCCGAACTCTTGGCCTCAAGTGATCCTCCTGCCTTGACATCCCAAGGCTTTGGAATTACAGGCATGAGCCACCAAGCCCAGCCAGTAATATCTTTTGATAAGCAGAAGTTCTAGTTTTTCATGATTTCCAAGTTCATTTTTTTCCCCTTGTGGTCAATGCATTTTAATACATTGTCAGGATATCTTTTTCTGACTAGAGGCCATAAGGTATGTGTGTGTGTGTGTATATATATATATATTTTTATTCTATAAATTTACTGTTTTGCTCTTCACATTTATCAGCAATCCAGATAAAATTGACTTTTGTGTGTGCTATCAACTAAGAATATCAAGGTTGATATTTCCCCTAACTATAGGTACATCTGGGTGTCCCAGCAGAACATACTGAAAAGACTGTTCTTTCCCACTACTCAGAAGTACCGTCTTTATTATATATGTATAATCGGTTTCTAGACCCTGTATTCTGTTTGTTGATCCTTGTGCCAATGAATAATATCTCCCAACACGCAAATGGATCCTTCTTCAAGTGTTTCTTGGCTTTTTTTTTTTTTTTTTTTTTGCATTTTCATGTAAATTTTAAAATAAGCTGGTCAAAAATACTGTTGGGATTTTTTATTTAGGTTACATTATATCTATAGTTTGTGCAAATTTACATTTTTTTTCTCTAGTCTTTCAATCTGTGAATGTGTAGCTCATTTATTTAGATATTCTTTAATATCTTTCAATAATGTTTTATAATTTACTTCACAGAGTTCTTGTGTATCTTCGTTAGATTTAGGCTGAGGTGATTGATATTATGCAATTATAAATGGCCCCTCTTTAAAAGTTTTATTCTCTGTTGTTGGTGTATAGAAATATAATTAGTTTTAAAATATTGAGATTATAGGCATCAACCTTGTTGAACTCATTAGTTCTAATAATTTATCTAGATTTGTTTGATTCTTTAACAGCACATCCATATGTTTTTTGCTTTTCCAATCTTTGTTTTTTAAAAATTCTTTTTCTTGCTTTCCATAGCTAGGACCCTCAAAACAATATTAAATAAAAGTAGCATTTCTAGTAACACTTGTACATTAAATATAAAGTTTTCTGTAGATATTGTATATAGCTGCCCTTCTTCAAAATAAGGAAATTTCATTGTTTCTATTTGGCTAATAGATTATAAAAACTTACTGAACTTTATCATATTTTCTTTCATCTATTGCATCATACAGTTTTTTGAATGTGAAACTAACTTTAGTTCTAGAATATTCTCAACTTTTCCATGTATGATCTTTTTCATTCATATCACTGATTTTAGTTTGCTGATATTTTTGGTTAGGAATTTTGATCTATGTTCATCAGTCAGATTGGCCTTTACTTTTTTATTTTTGTTGTGTCTTTTATTTCAATGTCAGGATTATGCTAGTCTTGTAAAATTAGTTAGGAAATACTTCCTATTTGAGGGGAATAGTATATGTACAAATATTTCATTAAATTTTTGGTAAACTTTACTGGTAAAAAGTATGGTAAATCCTGTGGGTGTTTTCTTTGTGGGAAAGTTTCTAATTATGGATTTCAGAATAGTTTAGTACCTCAGTTATGTTTATGTCAGTATTAAATTGCATTTTTTAGAAGTTTGTTCATAATTTCCTCTTTAATTTCTTTGTAATTTGTGTAGGATCTATAGAGATGTCCCTTTTTCTTTCATAACATTATACTTTTTTTCCTTTTTTTCTTGATCAGTTTCACCATGGTTGATTAGTTTATTAGTCCTTTCAAAGAACCATTGTTTAGATTTGTTAGGTCTCTGAATTATATGTTTATTGTCCATTTGATTAATTCTCATTGCTTAATATTTTATTTCTTCTACCTCTCTAGTTTGATTTTGCTATTTTTCTGATTCTCAAAATTAATAACACCAGGTGAATACTTACTAAGTTATTAATGGTCTGTCTTTTACAAAATTTGCACCCTAGGCCGTAAATTTTCCTTTATGCACTCTTTTGACTGGAGTCATTTATTATATTCATAAATATAAATATTTCCAACGGAGAAACAGCCTTAAATTCTAGACTCACTTTCTGGATCACTGACCTTTGAGTTTGCTTCCATAATTCTTTACCACCTTGTTATTTCACAGATTCCTTAAAACATAAGTATAGAAATTCTTTGCCCAGAATTTTTACTTACCTTCAGTGGATATATTGGTCCAAGCTACCTAGTTTATTATAACCAGAAGTAGAATTGCACTTTATATTTTTTTATATTTGTAGAAACTTACTTAATGTGGTTAAATAACTTGCCAAGCTAAATGTCAAAACTGGAATGTGAAACTATATTTTTATTGATGGCTTTTATTAAATTCAAAAAAAAGAAATCATTACAAAGGCATAATAGGATAGTGGTTGAGAGCACCAGTCTGTAGCCAGACTACCTGCATTTGAGTCCTACTCCTTCACATCCTAGTGGTTTGATCTTAAGCAAGTAGCTTAACTTCAGGTAAGTAACTCATCTGGGAAAAGAAAATAATAGATGCCTAGAGTTATTACATGTAAATATATGTCAAGTGGTCAGAACTATATTCACACATATTAAGAGAGTCAGCAGATTGTCATCAAATTCCATTAAGTTAGAGTATTTCTCCTAAATTTTCTTTAATGATAATGACAGCTAAGGTTTAATATTTTTTAACATGAATTGAGTCTTTTACTTCCTCCCTGATCTTACTACTATACAGTTCACCCTTAGACAATATTGGGGTTAGAAGTGCCAGTTCCCCTCACAGTAAAAAAAATTAGTGTTTAACTTTTGACTGTGCAAAAACTTAACTACCAAGTTAAGCCTACCTCTGACTAGAAGCCTTAGCAATAATGTGAACAATGAACATACATGAAGGGTCTTCAAAAGTTAATGGAAAATGCTTATTATGCAAAAACTATACACAAATTTCAACTTTTTTTTTTTATAGTAAAATAAACTCGTATTAACTTGTTATAAAATGTCTGAACAGGATTTAGTTTGAGGCACTAACAAGAGTAAGACATCAGTTTGAAGAGAGCCCCTGTGAGGGCAACATGAGTTCTGCTAAAATTGAAACAAGAACAAACAGCAAATTTATGGCAAAGCTTAAGCGAAAAAAATGGTGAAATCATTGATACTTTACAAAAAGTTTATAGGAACAGTTTCCCAAAGAAATCAGCAGTATACAAATGGATAACTCGTTTTAAGATGGGACGAGATGATGTCGAAGATGAAGACCTCAATGGCAGACCATCTACATCAATTTTGCAAGGAAAAAATTAATCTTGTTCATGCCCTAATTGAAGAAGACCAATAATTAACAGCAGAAACAATAGCCAGTACCATAGACATCTCAGTTGATTCAACTTACACAATTCTGACTGAAAAATTAAAGTTGCGCAAACTTTCTGCTTAATTTAGAGTACCAGAACCATTGTGCTTAGATCAGCTATAGATAGTAGCAGAGCTTTCAATGGAAATTTTAAACAACTGGGATGAAGATCCCGAAGCATTTCTTTGAAGAATTGTAACAGAAGATGAAACTGGTTTTACCACGATGACCCTGAAGACAAAACGCAATCAAAGCAATGGCTACCAAGAGGTAGAATTGGTCCAGTCAAAGCAGAAGCAGACTGGTCAAGAGCAGAGGTCATGGCAGTAGTTTTTTTGGGACTCTCAAGGCATTTTGCTTCTTGACTTTCTGGAGGGCTGAAAAGCAATAACATCTGCTTATTATGAGATTGTTTTGAGAGAGTTAGCCAAAGCATTAGCAGAAAACACCCACAAAATCTTCACTACAGAGTCCTCCATCGTAACAATGCTCCTGCTTATTCCTCTCAGAAAAGGGCAGTTTTGCAAGAGTTTCAGTGGGAGATCGTTAGGAATCTACCTTGTGGTCCTGATATGGCTCCTTCTGACTTCTGTTTGTTTTCTAATCTTAAAAATACATTTATGATTTGGCTCTCTGTTTGTCTGTTACTGGTGTATAAGAATGCTTGTGATTTTTGCACATTAATTTTGTATCCTGAGACTTTGCTGAAGTTGCTTATCAGCTTAAGCAGATTTTGGGCTGAGACAATGGGGTTTTCTAAATATACAATCATGTCATCTGCAAAGAGGGACAATTTGACTTCTTCTTTTCCTGACTGAATCCCCTTGATTTCTTTCTCTTGCCTGATTGCCCTAGCCAGAACTTCCAACACTATGTTGAATAGGAGTGGTGAGAGAGGGCATCCCTGTCTTGTGCCAGTTTTCAAAGGGAATTTTTCCAGTTTTTGCCCATTCAGTATGATATTGGCTGTGGGTTTGTCATAAATAGCTCTTATTATTTTGAGGTACGTTCCATCAATACCGAATTTATTGAGCGTTTTTAGCATGAAGGGCTGTTGAATTTTGTCAAAAGCCTTTTCTGCATCTATTGAGATAATGATGTGGTTCTTGTCTTTGGTTCTGTTTATATGCTGGCTTACGTTTAATGATTTGCGAATGTTGAACCAGCCTTGCATCCCAGGGATGAAGCCCACTTGATCATGGTGGATAAGCTTTTTGATGTGCTGCTGGATCCAGTTTGCCAGTATTTTATTGAGGATTTTTGCATCGATGTTCATCAGGGATATTGGTCTATAATTCTCTTTTTTTGTTGTGTCTCTGCCAGGCTTTGGTATCAGGATGATGTTGGCCTCATAAAATGAGTTAGGGAGGATTCCCTCTTTTTCTATTGATTGGAATAGTTTCAGAAGGAATGGTACCAGCTCCTCCTTGTACCTCTGGTAGAATTCAGCTGTGAATCCATCTGGTCCTGGACTTTTTTTGGTTGGTAGGCTATTAATTATTGCCTCAATTTCAGAGCCTGCTATTGGTCTATTCAGGGATTCAACTTCTTCCTGGTTTAGTCTTGGAAGAGTGTAAGTGTCCAGGAAATTATCCATTTCTTCTAGATTTTCTAGTTTATTTGTGTAGAGGTGTTTATAGTATTCTCTGATGGTAGTTTGTATTCCTGTGGGGTCAGTGGTGATATCCCCTTTATCATTTTTTATTGTGTCTATTTGATTCTTCTCTCTTTGAACTTCCATTCACAATTGCTTCAAAGAGAATAAAATACCTAGGAATCCAACTTACAAGGGATGTAAAGGACCTCTTCAAGGAGAACTACAAACCACTACTCAGTGAAATAAAAGAGGGCACAAACAAATGGAAGAACATACCATGCTCATGGATAGGAAGAATCAATATCGTGAAAATGGCCATACTGCCCAAGGTTATTTATAGAGTCAATGCCATCCCCATTAAGCTACCAATGAGTTTCTTCACAGAATTGGAAAAAACTGCTTTAAAGTTTATATGGAACCAAAAAAGAGCCCGCATCTCCAAGACAATCCTAAGTCAAAAGAACAAGCTGGAGGCATCACGCTACCTGACTTCAAACTATACTACAAGGCTACAGTAACCAAAACAGCATGATACTGGTACCAAAACAGAGATATAGATCAATGGAACAGAACAGAGTCCTCAGAAATAATACCACACATCTACAGCCATCTGATCTTTGACAAACCTGAGAGAAACAAGAAATGGGGAAAGGATTCCCTATTTAATAAATGGTGCAGGGAAAATTGGCTAGCCATAAGTAGAAAGCTGAAACTGGATGCTTTCCTTACTCCTTATACGAAAATTAATTCAAGATGGATTAGAGACTTAAATGTTAGACCTAATACCATAAAAACCCTAGAAGAAAACCTAGGTAGTACCATTCAGGACATGGGCATGGGCAAGGACTTCATGTCTAAAACACCAAAAGCAATGGCAGCAAAAGCCAAAATTGACAAATGGGATCTCATTAAACTAAAGAGCTTCTGTACAGCAAAAGAAACTACCATCAGAGTGAACAGGCAACCTACAGAATGGGAGAAAATGTTTGCAATCTACTCATCTGATAAAGGGCTAATATCCAGAACCTACAAAGAACTCAAACAAATTTACAAGAAAAAAACAAACAACCCCATCAAAAAGTGGGCAAAGGATATGAACAGACATTTCTCAAAAGAAGACATTCATACAGCCAACAGACACATGAAAAAATGCTCATCATCACTGGCCATCAGAGAAATGCAAATCAAAACCACCATGAGATACCATCTCACACCAGTTAGAATGGCAATCATTAAAAAGTCAGGAAACAACAGGTGCTGGAGAGGATATGGAAAAATAGGAACACTTTTACACTGTTGGTGGGATTGTAAACTAGTTCAACCATTATGGAAAACAGTATGGCAATTCCTCAAGGATCTAGAACTAGATGTACCATATGACCCAGCCATCCCATTACTGGGTATATACCCAAAGGATTATAAATCATGCTGCTATAAAGACACATGCACATGTATGTTTATTGCGGCACTATTCACAATAGCAAAGACTTGGAATCAACCCAAATGTCCATCAGTGACAGACTGGATTAAGAAAATGTGGCACATATACCCCATGGAATACTATGCAACCATAAAAAAGGATGAGTTGGTGTCCTTTGTAGGGACATGGATGCAGCTGGAAACCATCATTCTTAGCAAACTATCACAAGAACAGAAAACCAAACACTGCATGTTCTCATAGGTGGGAAATGAACAATGAGATCACTTGGACTCGGGAAGGGGAACATCACACACCGGGGCCTACCATGGGTTGGGGGGCGGGGAGGGATTGCATTGGGAGTTATACCTGATGTAAATGACGAGTTGATGGGTGCTGACGAGTTGATGGGTGCAGCACACCAACATGGCACAAGTATACATATGTAACAAACCTACACGTTATGCACATGTACCCTAGAACTTAAAGTATAATAATAATAATAAATAAATAAATAAATATTTAAGGGGCACTCATTTTTCTTCAGTTAATGTAAAAAAGTCTGCATTGACATGGATAAATTCCCAGGATCCTCAGTTTTTTTGGGAATAGACTAAATGGCTGGTATCATTGCTTACAAAAGTGTCTTGACCCTGACAGACCTTGTGTTGAGAAATAAAGTTTTTTACTTTTATCTTTTAATTCAATTTTTTTCACATACTTTTTGGAAGTTCCCCAATATTTTGTATATGTATTCCATACTCTAGTCCTACAATAGAGTGAACTAGAGAAAAGAAAATGTTAAGAAAATTCTAAAGTGAGCTAGAGGAAAGAAAATGTTATTAAGAAAATTATAAGGAAGAGAAAATATATTTACTATTCCTTAAGGGGAAGTAGATCATCTTAGAGGTCTTCATCTTTATTTTCACAGTGAGTAGGCTGAGAAGAAGGAGGAAGAGGAGGGGTTAGTCATGCTGTCTTAAGGGTGGAAGAAGTGAAGGAGGTGGAAGGGGAGGCAGAAGAAACAGTACATTTTGGTGTAACTTTTAGGGAAAAACCCTGCATATATGTATGTGGTCCTTTGCAGTTCAAACCTGTGGTGTTCAAGGGTCAACTGTATTTTGTGGTCATTTTAATTTCTGCTATGGAATTATTCTCCAGCTACTGGAAAATTTTGTATATGTATATTGTTTTCTTAGACAATTAGGCATAACCACATATAAAATATATACTTTACTCATTTGTAGCTTACTCCATCTGGAAGCATTTCTCTTATCAAATCAATGCATTTAATTAAAAATCCTGTGAAGACCTGTGATAAAGTTTATTCCTTAATTCAGAGTTTGACTTCTCAAATCAGACATCGAATGGAAGATCCCAAATCATCAGGTAAATATGTTTTTCTTAGAGCATAGAACAAATAAAAGTTACTATTCAATTAAGCGTTTTAAAATATGATGCACCAATCTTATTTTAAGAAATAAGCCTTTTTTGAGAGCTATGTGTAGTTTGAGTTAATATATATCAAGCAAAAAATAATGGCTAAGTTATAGTCGTTTTTATCTATGACAGCATGAAAGATAAAATATTATCATTTGATTACCTTATTATGCAGCATTGCCATATAGTTAAGCAGTGAGTAGACAGGGTAATAAGAAGGAGCAAGCAATAGGAAAGTGATCTAGGCTCTGGCCCCAAAGCTTAGTTGGTTAGTAACTTAAACAACTTTGGCATCTTGGGTTTTTTTCTGTCAGAAAATGGATCAGTTGGACTATTTTTAATGTCTAAGGTTCCTCTGCTAAAGATAGTCTACCTATTCACTTAGTTATGTGAATCTAATAAGAGTAACAGTATTGAAAATTAAAAATATATGAGCTTAAAAGAGCTTTGTTAAAATTGTTGCCCTTTTTCTTCTTCTTGTTATTAAAGTCTATAATATATGGAAAAAGTCTTTTATAAGCCTAGTTCCTAACCCTTCAAGTCAAAAAAATACATGGTTGCTAGTAGTCTATGCCTATAGTAACTTCCTAACTTCATACCGTTGTATTTTTGACACTTTAAAAAGTTTCTAATTATTAACATATTAATATATATTCTAAATCAGATTTTTAAGTTGTGTAAACTAAAAATGTTATGTTGTTTTAGATATTCAGCTTTACCATAGTGAAACATTGGAGCTTATGCTACGTAGATGGTCCAAGTTAGAGAAAGACTTTAAAACAAAGAATGGAAGATATGATATTAGTAAAATCCCTGACATATATGACTGTATAAAATATGATGTCCAGCATAATGGTTCCTTGAAATTAGAAAACACAATGGAATTATATAGGCTTTCGAAGGCATTAGCAGATATTGTTATCCCTCAGGTAAGTCATTCTTAAGAATCAATTTTCTTATAATATTAAATAAATACATACTTTTAAAATGTCTCTTGGTGGAAAAAAATGTAGTTGGTTTTCATGTCCTTAGAAAACCAGTAACTTTAAACAGGAAATTAGGTAATTATGAATTTATATTTTAAGCTTTTTATGGTTATATTGATCACATTATTTGATTTTCTAATAGTTTGATTACAGTGACATTTTTTAGTAGACTATATTTATTAGAGCAGTTTTATGTTCATAGCAAAATCAAACTGAAGGTACAAAGATTTCCCCTATGCCCCCTGCCTCCATACATAGCGCATCCTCCCCCACATTATGATTATCCTCCACAAGAATGGTGCATTTTTTATAACTGATGAACCTATAATGACACATCACCCAGAGTCCATAGTCCATTAGGGTTCACTCTTGGTGTTGTACATATAAGTTTGGGCAAATTTATTGTGACATGTTTCTATCATCATAGTAGTATACAGAGTATTTTCAGTGCCATAAGAATGTAGTATTTTTTTTTTTAATTTAAGAATTGATACTCTTTGTAATAATATGCGAACAAGCTAAAGAATGGAAAATAATAATTCCATATGGAATAAATAAAATAAATATTTATTGAACACCTGTTCTTCATCTGCTATCTATATATGGAAATATGTGGGGAGTAAGACATAAAGATAGTTGCGGCCTTATATGAAATTTTTTGCAAGTCTTTTTACTTTATGCAAAAGTATTTTGAAAATAATGTTTAGAGGTCAAGATATACATAGTTGTTCTTTTGGGGGACATGGGTCTTTTCATTATAGGAGAATAAAAATAAAGATGTAATAAGAATTCAAATAACTAAAATGCAATTAAACAGAATTGGATTGATAATAAAGGGGTAAGTGACAAAATATATTGAGATCAGGAATGTGTTAGAAGGACAGAGTTCCAGATGCCATTTTCGGACCTTTTTTCAACTCAGTAGAAGATTATTTGGATATTGTAAATAAGAGGTTGGAGTAGATCAGATATTCCAACTGTGGACTACATAAAGTTTGACAGCAAGAAAATGTTAAATATATGAAAAAGATAAAGATTGTGAAACAAGTTCAAAAAGCCTAACTTATGAATACCCATGTATAACAATGGTTAAAATAACTGTCCCTTTCCTAATATACATAGACAGTACAGGAAAACCTATAGATTTTGAAAAACTGAGAATTCAGACAGTTGTACAACTTACCTATAGGTATTTGTGTACATGTTAACAATTAGCTTGTTTCTTCAACATGAAAGAGAACTATATATTTGTTTGATCAGATATATAGTGTAGACAATTTTAGGTATATTGTATGAACCTGTGATTTTAAAAATTATTTTTAAAAGAGGATGAAAATATCTCAGACTTTACGAATATGTCTTTAGGTCTTACTTTAGGAAACATTTACTTAGGAAACAGGACTCATTCCCTCACAATTTCTTTCATTTACCAAATGAAAAAGGTAAGTTTTATTCTGTAAAAGACAAGTTTTATTTTGCATAATAAAATGTTTCAGTTTTGTAAGTATGCTTTTTAACAATTAGCTGTGAATATGAGACTTTAAGATATTTATGGTGGCTATAAGCACTTTTCAAGGTGGGCTTTCAGTATATCTAAATTTATCACCTACTCAGAGGCTAAATAAATATACAACGCTTTGTCTAATGTTTAGCATAACCATGTCTGTGCCATTGTATTGCTTATTTAATCTCACCCCTCTACTGTTTCCATTATATATACTAAATATTTTACAACTGGGAATGGAAAATTAGTCTCTAAGAGTTGAGCCCAAAAGAAAACTCAAGTGTTAATGGTATTGTAGATGGTCATTTCTCCTCCTTACATGGTGTATGTATTTCAGGTGTATTGTTTATATAGTTGAAAACATTTCTCACCATGTCTGTGTAACTTAAATATTTATAATAAATTTTTTTAAATACTAGAAGAAGCACCAAAGATTAGTATGTTACGAAGGAGCTGAGTCATCATTTGTATCTATCAAAGTAATTCTTCGCTCAGCTGTTCTCAGTCTGTTATGGTAATTCTCTTTGCTGCAATTATGTTAGATTTTCATGACGGTCTGAGAATTTATTTGAAGACAACTCTAAAATTATTTTTCTTGGAAAAGTTATTTTTGAAATCGTTTGACTCTTCAGATAAAATTATGCCCAAGTTTAAATAAATCAGTTCTATTTTTGGTAAATTCATACTTTTAAAACAAGAAGGTCTTTTTATATGCTTCCCTGGTGTCCTGACATTATTTTATAAATTGAGGAGAGGACAACTTTGGGTTTATCTCCGTAACTTTTTCGTATGTCAATCTTTATTGTTAACAGAAACTTTGGGTTCTTTTTATTTTCAGATCATTGAATCAGTTCAATAAATATTACCTTGCTTTGTTACTTTAGGCCTTGTAAATACAGAAACTGTGGACAGAAGGCAGGTATTTTCAATCACAAAAAAAAAACTAGCAATTATAAACATATTTACAGTAATTTATAATGAAAATGTGGTTTGTAGGAAAAAAATAAAATTTCGCGTACATAGTTCTCAAGCAAATAATATTTCAAGCTTCAAGATTTGACTCAGTCAAATAATACAAAGTTTTAACTTGTTTGGAATAATTTAATGCAGACTAACGGTATGACTATGAAAGAGAAATGTATATACATATATTCTGGTGTACTTCAAAATGATACTATGCCTTAAAAAATCAGTTTCTACTCTTACATTGATTGTTTAATTTTTATGTCTATGCTATGTGAATTCTGTAATTCCAATCATATCTAGGCTTACATGATGCGTATGGTCTGTTTTAGTTATTTTAACAGTTAAACTAGTTTTGATAGGTGTTTATGCTACAATAGAATCAAATTTTCACTTTTTAACCAGGCTTAATCCTCAGAAAATTGGGGCCCTGGTTTAAAAATGATGCTTTATAACTCTGATGGTATGGTGGTAAATAAAAACATTTAGAGACCATATTTGATATTAAAATTCTCTTAATTGAGATGACACGTATTAATTGAAGTTTAAAGATGTTTTCTTTGGTTATCTGTAGATTATGAAATGCAGACAGTTCTTTATAGTAGCATTTCCCAAAGATAGTTCAATGACATTCTCAATGAAATCATTATAGAAAGCCTTCAAGTCGCTTTAGCTGGTATTTTAATGAGTTCTATTTGTCGCACAGATGTTGTAACTACATATAAGAATTTGCATATATAAAAATTATTTGGTCCTAGTTGATAGAGGCAGATGAGCAAAATATGTCACTGTTTTGAAGAGAGAGATTTCTTGATTATAAAAGTAATATATCTTTGTAATAAAACTAGAAAATACAAATACAGCAAAAAAATTACTACAACATTACCAACAAAAGAAAAACATATCAATGTTTTGGAATATTTTTAAAGGCCTCTTTCCTTAAATTCATTTACATATAATTTTTTCCATAAATGCATATATATAGAAAATACATTCTTTATGAAAACTGAATCAGAAAAAGCATACTATTTTACAACCTAATTTTTTCCTTCATTTAGCATAAAGAACTTCTTTCCATGCCAATAAAGCTAATATGCATTATTATTCCCGATGGCTGAGTGGTGTGAATGTAAGAATAATTTATTTAATCAACTTGTATTTGGAAATCTAGACTTTTGAAATTTGTTTCACTCTCTTTACACGTCTTTCCATTCATTCAAGACCATTTCTGTAGCTCCAGAAATCTTTAATCAGTTTTTACCCAGACCAGCAGTGTGTGAAAATCCGTTTCCTCACACCTTGCTAATAACAAATTTTTAAAAAAGTACTTCCTTGATGATTTTGTAATTCCAACATTTTTCTTTCATTTACACATAAATACACAGTTGCATATTGACTATATAGTCACCTACATTGGCCAGATTATTGAACCACCTTAGCTTTAGTTTAAGGTAAATCACCCCCAGGAAGTTCTGTTTTCATAGGTCTTTCATCTGTAATCAGTCAGCATTTTCTTTATTAGGCAGTTTTGAGATCTATTGTCTATACTGATGTTATTCCATGTGAATCTTTCTGGAGGTATCTGGTAGCAGGAAATAGCCTTTAAGTTGAGATATCCTAAAATGAACTTGGAGAGAGAAGGTATGTGTGTTTCTTCCCTCTTCCCTTTTCTCCCTCTCTTGCATTCTACCCCTACTTTTCTGCCTTCTTCTTTTCTCCTCTTCTACTGATTTGAACTATAATTTTCATTGCAATTACTCTTAAAATTGCCATGTTTTCTGGACACTTCACATTGTGTTAATTCCTTACAAATCCAGTTAACCCATAATGATTATGTCATTAAATTTGATAATTTCATGGAATCTTTGCTCACTACCAGTTAAAACTTTAAAAATATTGGCCAAAGGCTTTTGAAGAACGTGTTAGTCTTTTAAATCTTTGACATTTGGAAAGACAGAAATCTCAAGGTTTAATTTTTTTCATATATTTATTACATATTGTGCTTTAGTGTTTGTGTCCTTAATCCACCTTTCTTTTAGGGTTGTTTTTACATTTAAAACCTCTGATTTAGTGAATACTAGTCATAAAAATTACATTCACCCATTCATTCTCCTCCTTCAGAAATTACTGGCTTTTGTTCAGTTCCACCACAAAATCCTTCCAATTATACTTAATAGTTTGAAAATCATACATTTGCAGTTGCAAAAAATGCAAACTTGGAGTTATCCAACATTCAAAAAAGGCTTGATAAAATATTTGTCTCTCACTAGACTAATTTAGGAGTGTATTTTTTTAGAGTACTTTGTCATTATATCCTTTTTCTAATGTCAAGTATTTTTTGCTCAGGAATATGGTATCACTAAAGCTGAAAAACTGGAGATTGCCAAAGGCTACTGTACTCCTCTGGTTAGAAAAATTCGCTCAGACCTACAGAGGACACAAGATGATGACACTGTAAATAAACTTCATCCTGTGTAAGAAACTGTACTGGTTATTTAAATGTCTAGGCATCTATTTTTGCATACTTCAAATTTAAATTACACTTTGATGATCCTATGAAGTCAGAAGTGTGTCATTGGCATACTGTGAAAATACTATTACCTAGATATTTCTATTAACTTCCAACCAAAGTTATTTTTGGCTCCAATTTAGAGAAAACTAAGGTGAGTGGGGAAAAGGGAATATAGGTCATCGTTCACATGGGATCATCAATGTGTACCCCATTCAGCAGCATTAATGTCTGTGATCATCTTTAGGTCTATAACCTCTGTTATTGCTACTAAAAGAGATAAAATAACCTATTTACAGTGTACTTGACTAATATTAAGTCTATTCTTTGACTACTCTCAGAGGTCCTAGTTAGTTATAGTTTGTGTCATGTTAGAAGAATATGTACTAACATAAATCCTCTATTGCAGTTGGAAGAATAATAGATTTTTATGGTCTTTTACTTCTAGTGAAATTAAATTTAATTTTGGAAAATAATTTCAATATTTAGTGAGTTTTTGATTATATGGTTATGTTTGAACACTGTCTGCTTTTAATTTTAGGTATTCTAGAGGTGTTCTTTCTCCTGAACGTCATGTTCGTACTAGATTATATTTTACTAGTGAAAGTCATGTACATTCTTTGCTGTCTATTCTTCGCTATGGTGCCTTATGCAATGTAAGTAGAATAAGTTACATCAGTCTAACAAATATATTTAATTTTGTAGTTAAATCACTGACTGCTATTTTTACTGTGAAATTTTAGTATATCATCCTTAAGTGTTACTACTTAATGTCGTCTTTCAGGGGACTACTATATACCAAGCATTTTGCTAGATGTTAGGGATAAAGATGTTCTCTTCAGAGAAGATACATTCAAGCAAACAATAATATAAATTATTTTAGGTGATTTTATAGACTGATGGCAGTAAAGAGAAGCCTGATGAATTTGAGTCATTTAGGGGTCAGAATTGATGAGACTTGGTGTTTGGTTAGACATTGTGCCACTTACCTACTATTATGTACTATCTACTGTTATCTACTATTATGTAATGACATACCAAGACTTAGTGGCTTAAAACAACCGCAGTCATTTCATTTTTATCTCATACAGTTTAGAGTGTTGACTAGGATCAGTTATGAAGTTTCACTTAGAGTCTCATGAGGTTGTGGTCAGACAGTGGCTGGGTCTCAATCTCAAGGGTTTTCTCTCATGTTTGGTGCTTCATGTTGGCTGTCTGCTGGGACCTCAACTGCAGTTATCAACCAGAACACCTACATCTGGCCTTTTCATGTGGCCTGCTTCCTCAAAATGTGTTGCACCTGAGTTCCAGGAGTGAGCTTCCTATGAGAGCAAGGTGCAAGTGCATGGCATTTTTATGACCTAACTTCTAAAACCATAGCATCACTTCTGCTGAGCTCTCTTGGTTGAGGCAATCACAGAGGTTCATCCAGGTTCAGAAGGAGAGGAAACAACCCACAGCACTAGATGGACTGAGTGTCTCTGTCATATTGTAAGAAGAGTATGTAGAATTGAATGCGTATGTCAGCCATCTTTGGAAAACACAAAATCTGCTACGGTGATACCCATTTGCCACAGTAATTCATATTCTTCCTGCATACAAAACTCACTTAACTTCTCCCTCAGTGCCACCCACTCCATTCAGTGCCATGCTGTAACAGGGTAATACTACTTGAAGTCCAGAATCTCATCTAAATCAGTCATCTCTAAACTAGCCAAAAGATAAGAATGTTTCTTTATTTTTCTGTGCGTATGAATATTTGCACATCTGTATAGAAAGTGATCTATAAAAGAAAATTCAATTTTGTTTTCTTATGTACTTTTAAAAGAAGGGCAGTGAAATATGTAATGATAATTTGGTATATATCTGTTTCCTAATCAATCTTATTACTGGTCCTTGAGAGTAATTATTATCATAGTTATCCTAAGGCTGTTTCAAAGTTCTATTCCAATTAAAATTCCAAACCCATATGTTATTTCTTCTGGTTTTTTGTTTCTTCTTTGTCCCACTAAAGAATAGCAAAGTGACATCCTTGCATAAGTATGTGGATTAGTGGGGGAAAAAAATGACCCTTAATTAGCAAGGCAAAAGCTTATATAAACAGTAGTGTTGATGGAATTGTTTGTGAGGAGGAGAGATACATCTCTTACATGGTCCTTTTTGACATATATAGAGGGTATAAAGAACATGAATAATATAGGAACTGATAGAAAGCCTGTGGCTGGAGAATAGCAGTAAGTATTGGATAAAATGAGAGCAGATGTGGTTGAAGAGCCCGTGCCTTGTATTCTAAGTGGATTGGGAAGCCATTGAAAGGTTTTAAGCAGGGAAGTGGGTGACTTTGGTTGTTGTGTGGACAGTAGATAGGTGAAAGTGGGTATGAGGAAACCAGTTAGGAAATTAGTACAGTGGTCCAAAAAGATGTCATTTAGACTAGGGTGGTGGCTGTGGATCTAGAGTTTGTTGGGCATATATTGAATTCAGGCTGCATTTCTAAAACAAAAACTGAACAACTTCATTATTTTAAAAATCAGTGCTTCCAGGGGGAAAAATAATTACGTGTATTTACTAAGGTGAAAATTGAAGTCTATACCAAAATGTTTTGTTTTCATTATCCCAACTCTTATTATCCTTATAAGAATCTGTAAGTAATATAATTAAAATCTTACTCAGTGTATTACCAGTTGTAATTTTTAATTATTCAGAATGGACTGGGTAAAATCTTTCTGTAAAATTATTTATAAAGTTTGTTAAGGAACTAAGATTATAAACAAGATTTCAGGAATATGTGTAATGGGGCCTTAATTTAAAAAAACATTTTTGTGTCTTCTTACATATTAATTATGTTCTGGAAGTTACTACTAAATATTACTTAATTTTATCTATTTATTAGAGAAGACCTAGCAAAATCTATAACTGCAACACTGAGTTATACATTAGATGGTGTTCTTAATACTGGAGTATCACAAAATCACAAGATCAATTATCTCTTCACCTAATGAAAATTTTCAGTATTTAAACTCATCATTTATGCTAACTTTACATTTAGTGAAGCTCAGTAATGCTAATTTATGTTTCCCTTATCAATTTTGAAAAAAATACATCTTTTCACATATTACCTCCTAAACTTGCACACATGCATGTGCACACACACATACACACGGAATGTGTAATGTCTAAAATAGAAATAAAATACATGCTGAATTTTAAAAAACATACAGTCAATGTGTGGTCTTATAATTTAAAACAAGATGCATTCTGTACTAAAGTTCTTAATATTGTATACTCTTAGTGTATACAAAAAGGAAATGTGCTTTTATATATTTGTAATGTAATTACATAGTATACAGCAAAGGAAATTTATCTGTGATGTACATATAATTTAAGTAGATCCTGTTAATTGTTGACTATAGACTTTGAGTAGTTTTGCCTTTTCAGATATAATTTTCTACTTTGAATGCTTGTAGTACATGTTCTCTAAGATCCTTTTCAGTTCTGATGCTCTATGATTACATGTTTAAAGACCAATGATTCTCAGAATGAAGATGGAGGAATGGTGAAGGAGATGGTAAGATCAATAGAATTTGCATATGCCTCCTTCTGCTGATTTTTGAATATCACTTCAGTGTAATAGGGATATTTATTGATATCGCATACGTGAACTATATATGATGGTGGGAAAAAATAGCATTCCTGTTATAGGATAGTATTCTGTGGTTATGAAACATGATACTATACTAGGTACTTTGGAACTGAACAAAGTTAAAAACTGTCTCTTACCCTCAGAATTCAGTAGTGTTTGTCATATTTCAAGAAATTCTTTATTTTTCATTTTGTATAAGCAGCTAAAAAAAGGTTACTACTAGAACTTCTAATATAAGTTGAATATCTCTTATCTGAAATGCTTGAGACCAGAAGTTTTTTGGAATTTAGAATTGTTTTTGGATTTTGGAATATTTGCACTGGTTTAGCATGCCTAATTTGAAAACCCAAAATTCTCCAATGAGTATTTCCTTCGAGTGTCATGTTAGTGCTCAAAAAGTTTTGAATTTTGGATCATTTTGGATTTTGAATTTTCAAGTTAGGGATACTCAAACTTGTAGAGAGTTTAGACATATTTTACCAAAACAAGCTTAAATAAGTTAGTAAGACTTTTAAATGTAGTGGAATTATTTTTAAAAATTGTGCATATAGTAAGTATTCACTTTATGTGGTATCACTAGGCTTAAACAAGCTACCATAGTGACAATAAAGTGACTTTCAAGTAACAGTTTGAGAAAATGCTTACCACATGTATCTTTTGTTCAGGAATCAAAGGATGAACAGTGGAAAAGAGCTATGGATTATTTAAATGTTGTCAATGAGCTCAACTACATGACTCAGATTGTTATCATGCTTTATGAGGATCCTAATAAGGTAAACAGAGCTCTTGATTTGTGTTTTACCAGACATAAATAAAGAGCTTAAAGTTTCTCATTTTGAAAATGTTCTGTCATATTTCTTAGGATCTTTCCTCAGAGGAACGCTTTCATGTTGAATTACACTTTAGTCCAGGAGCCAAAGGTTGTGAAGAAGACAAAAATTTACCATCTGGCTATGGATATAGACCAGCTTCCAGAGAGGTAACGAAGGTGGAACTCTCAGTGCTTAGTTACTGTGGTTCTAGATTTTCATGAGGTTTCTATAAGGGATTTTTATAATGTACTATAAATAATTCTTATTTCAACTACTAAGTAGCAAAATGGCTTAAATTTTTTAAAGTGTGATTTGTATAGACAACACTTTTATGCATATTGGAATACTTAGGAATTTTCTATTTTGTTTAGATTGTTTGAATTTTAAGGCCATGTTTAGAATGGATAGCCTTAAACCTTTAATTCACTGAAATTGACTTTTTTGGATATGGTACATGTGATGTGCAGTCCAGTTTTGTTGTCTTTGCTCTATGAATAACTAAGCCCCAGTATCATAGATTCAAGAGTTCATCCTTTTTCTGCTGCCTATAGTACTACACATGATACTGCAGACATGTATTGTACATGTATTTTGATTGGTTGGTTTCTGAACTTTTAGTCTTACTTGATTACTCCGTTTGTTTCTCTCTCTACCAGTACCACAGTCTTAATTATTATAGCTTTATAATAAATATTGATATTGAGTACAGAATTCCTCCAGCTTTGTTTTTCTTAAAGATTATATTGAATATTTCATGTTTCATGCATTTTCATATAAATTTTATAATCATTTTATAATATCCTGAAAAGACTCTTTGAGATTTTGGTTGAGATTACAATTACTCTGCAGATCAATTTGGAAAAAAAAAATGATACTTTTTCAGTATTGGGTCTTCTAGTCTAAGGACTTGGTATATTTCTGAATTTATTTAACTATATATTTTTTGATAAAATCATAATTTTTTTCATTAAACATAACAGCAAAAACCACAATTACTTTTGCACCAAATAATTGTCTTATACCATCTTTGTCAGATTAATTCCTAGTTCCTTTATAGTTTTTTATGCTATCATAAATTTATTTATGATAAATTTAAATTTCTTTTATGATTTAAATTTCATTTTTTGTTGTCATATTAAATTTTAACTCAGTTTTGTATAAAAATTTTATAAGTAGCAAATGTATAACTTAATATATACTGTTATTCATTCTAATAATTTACCCTTAGAGTCATTTGGATTTTTTATGTATATGATCATAACATCATCTATGAATGATGAATAGATTTAGTGATAGTGGACATTCTTATCTTTGAGTGTGTTATTATTAACTGTAATGATCCCTTCAAGTTTTAGGTATCCCTTATTTGATTTAAAAAGTACCTTTTTATTCTCTGTAACCCTTAATTTGCTGAGGGTTTTTATGTACTCAGCTTATTTTCTTTTGGCCAATATTGTGTTTAGGAGATTCATCAATGTAGTTGCATTTAGTTTTAGTTTGTCCATTCTTACTGCTTTGAAATATGTGTTTTACTGTATTACTGTGGCCCAATATATGCATTGTCTTTTCTTTTTTTTTTTTTCTGACACAGAGTCTGGCTGTCTCCCAGGCTGGAGTGCAGTGGCACGATCTCTGGTCACTGCAAGCTCCGCCTCCTGGGTTCACGCCATTCTCCTGCCTCAGCCTCCCGAGTTGCTGGGACTACAGGCGCCCATCAGCACGCCTGGCTAATTTTTTGTATTTTTAGTGGAAATGGGGTTTCACTGTGTTAGCCAGGATGGTCTCGATCTGCTGACCTCGTGATCTGCCCACCTCAGCCTCCCAAAGTGCTGGGATTACAGGCGTGAACCACCACTCCTGGCCTGCATTGTCTTACAGTTGGATATTTTAGTACAAGTCATGGCACACGGTATACACTTAGTAAATGCTTAATGAGTCATTGAATGATAGTTACTTTTAATGCAGTTATCACATTTATTAGAAATATTTGGAATATATTTAAATAGTCTAAAATTTATAAATACAAATGCTGTTTAGTTCGTGCTTAGGTTGATGAGACTCCTATATAACAAAGCTCATCTCTAGTATTTATTTCTGTCGTTTATTATTATTGTTTGTTTATTCTTGCACTTGATGAAAGGTAATTAAACACTTTGTCTTATGTGGTTTTTTTAATTGCCATTTTACTGTTTAATTTCTCCATAGAGTGTATGTATTTTTGAACTCAGAGACTCTGCCTTTTCCCTCATAGTACACAGCATAATACTCAGCTGTTAGAAGAGTTCAGTTAATGTTCATTCATCTGAGTAAACAAACTTGTATATGTATTTCAAGTACCTCTACCAGTGGTAGTTGAATCTGTTCATCAGAAGATATTTCTTAAATCTGAATAGAAGTGTTTTATATTCTTTGCTCACAGAATGAAGGCAGGAGACCTTTTAAAACTGATAATGATGATGAACCACATACTTCTAAAAGAGATGAGGTTGATCGAGCTGTGATATTGTTTAAACCAATGGTATCAGAGCCAATTCATATACACAGGAAGTCTCCACTTCCAAGATCTAGGAAGATGGCTACAAATGATGTAAGTATATGTATCAGAACACATTTTTCATAAAATAAACTAACTATATTTTAGTAAACCAGAAAAGAAAATACAGCTTTAATTGTGGAGCTTGGGAAACCAGCAAATTTTTAAATGTTATTTAATCTATTTTTAAAATAAATTACAAAAAATATAGAGGCAGTTCAACAATAGATTAGTTTTAGAATGTTGAGCTTTACGTATAGTTTTCATAAAAAAGAATGCAAATATAGAATAAGCTGTTTCTAGGAACTTGAAAAATGAATGCTTTTTTTTGTCTTGTTATATTAGGAATATTTACATTAGGTTAATCTTCAATAAATAAATTTTTTTAAAAGCCTGATTTAATGGATCAAGAATAATTTTAGTTAAAAGTAGAGAGCAGGCTGGGCGCAGTGGCTCACGCCTGTAATCCCAGCACTTTGTGAGGCTGAGGCAGGTGGATCACGAGGTCAGGAGATTGAGACCATCCTGGCTAACATGGTGAAACGCCGTCTCCACTAAATATACAAAAACTTAGCCTGGTGTGGTGGCGGCACCTGTAGTACCAGCTGCTCGGGAGGCTGAGACAGGAGAATGATGTGAACCCAGGAGGCAGAGCTTGCAGTGAGCCGAGATCACGCCACTGCACTCCAGCCTGAGCAACAGAGCAAGATTCCAAGACTCCATCTCAAAAAAAAAAAAAAAGGAGATGCTTTAGCAATAACTGATTCAAGTGATACTATAGGTAAAGAAATGAAATTCCAAATTGTTTGCCTAATTGCAAAGTCTATGTAGGAATTTGAATATTTGATAATATAATTGAAAATTTTACCTTTATATTAAGATCTATAAATAGGCTAAAATAATTATTATGCTCTCTAATAGGAAAACATTTAAATAATTAATAAAGTAACATTTAAGAGGAAAGTTGAACAGTTAGAATGAAGCTTCTTAAATAAAGCTTTAGCACCTGTATACATTTTTAATACTTTAAATAAGTTTTATTTGAGGTTATCTCTATTTTGCATAGGATGATTCTCCCAACGCTGGTTGAGGTCAGTGCTTATAACTGTTTTCTAAATGCTCTAGTAAAAGTGTAAAGGAAGAGGGGCCTGGCATAGTGGCTGGTACCTATAAACTCAGCACTACGGGAGGCCGAAGTGGGTGGATCACTTGAGGTCAGGAGTTCGAGAGCAGCCTGACCAACATGGTGAAACCCTGTCTCTACTAAAAATATAAAAATTAGCTGGGCGTGGTGGTGTGGGCCTGTAATCCCAACTACTCGGGAGGCTGAAACAGAAGAACCATTTGAACCTGTGAGGTGGAGGTTGCAGTGAGCCGAGATTGCCCCCTAACTGCACTGCAGCCAGAGCGAGACTCTGTCTCAAAAAATAAACAAACAAACAAACAAACATACATATATACACATATATACATACATATATATATGTATGTGTAAAGGAAGAAATTAAGATATAACCATCAACTTTTAGAAAAAAAATTATTTAAATATGCCAAGTCTGAAGAATTAGATATAACATTTTTTAGCATTTGATAGGTGAGAATAAAAACAACAAAAAGAATTGTGCTCATTTCTACAGCCCCAAATTATGCAAATATATGTGTTTTATGATTCTCAAAGTTCAAATGTATATGTGCTCCAGTTTGACAATTTTGTATAGGCAAAAATCTGTCCGTAAAGTAGATCCTTATAACTTTATAATGGAAATTATATAGTCATTAAGGTTCCCTTGAATGTGATATTTTAATTACAAAAGAAGATGGTTATAAAAGAGGGTGTTTAACAATTATAGAACTTGGAATTATTTGTACTATTATAACTTAATGGAAAAAATGAAAAATCTGGGATTATGTTCAGGTATCCTTAGTTTCAGAAAATTTGGGACATAAGCTATGTTAATTAATATAACCTATACTTCTATTTGTGTGAGTGCAGTGATTTTGATGTGTTATTGAATAAGCAATCTATAGTTAATCAAATTATTCAGAATTTCACCATTAAAGCCTCTCCTCTGCCCTCCAAAAAGCCTATATAACACTGAATACAGCAAAATGTATTGTAAATCTTCATTTTGCAACTTACCTATATTTATGAAACCTCTTACAAAAGCATTGTCCTCGTTAATCTTTAAAACGCAAAACACATTTATAAACCTTTTTCTCATAAATACTTAGTTGATTTCAAGAGATTATTTCTATGCCATGCTAAACTTTTACTTCCATAAGGTAAATTACTCAAGTAAAATCTTGAAGACTTTTTCCAGCGTCCATCATCTCCATGGATATCAGAAGTTTGTACTTCCAAAAGACACACAGAGAAAAAGACTGTTCTCTTCATTTTGTGCAAGTAGATTTTACTCTGTCCTCACTCTCTGAAACCTGAACATGCAAACATGTATAATGAGAATGTTTGCTGCATGTTTTGCCTACTAAATCTGTAAATAATCTCTGGAGGGGGCAAATAGATAGCTTGAAAGTATAAACAGGTGCAATTTGAGTCCATCTTATGATCTCTGAACTTTTTAAATATGTCAGGCAGACAGATTTAGTTTTCTGAGTTATGTATCTTGAAATCCCTTTGACCCTTTGCACAATTCTTTAGTGCCTTGGGTTGAAAAATTCACCCAAAATAGGACAAAATCTTTGAATATCTAAAATTAAGCAGGAAACCTTTATATTTTAAAAGTTGCTTAAAAAGAAACTTACTAAAATATTTCCAGTTTTAACAGGGAAGGGACAATTATGAAGCAGTATAAGTATTTTATGTCTTTTAATGTAATAAAATATTTCCATAATTGTTATCACATGCAATTAGATTTATTAGTCATTCCTATCAAATTCTCAAATAGTGAAATATTTGGCTCCCAAATTGCTGTTTAATAGTTTTTTAAAAAAATTAATAAGCAAATACAAACAAACTGTATTTTTTTTTCTTTCTGATCATTTGGCTCTGTTGTATCTAACTTTGCATGCTCTGCTTTTTTTTTTTTTTTTTTTTTTTTTTTGCCCCCTTTCTCACTTCCAGGAAGAGAGCCCCCTGAGTGTGTCTAGCCCAGAGGGTACTGGTACCTGGCTGCATTATACCAGTGGTGTGGGTACTGGGCGTCGAAGACGCAGATCAGGGGAACAAATCACTTCTTCCCCTGTCTCCCCCAAATCATTGGCTTTCACATCCAGTATTTTTGGCTCATGGCAACAGGTTTTTAAACTTTACTTCATTAAACATTTTTCCTCCCTGCATTCAGAGCAACAAACAGCTGTCTTTGAGGACATCTAATCCCTTGTATTTCACATCAGAGTAAATCCTTCGGTTTTTTAATTTTGAGTTCATTTAAAAATACTTATGATATCTGCCAATATTCGAGGGAAAGAAATCACTTCCATGGCATGTGTTTAGTATTTTTACTGAGAAGGTTCCAAATATCCAGGATTTTAAAAACAATCAATAAATATTATTCTCCTGGAATTTTACCTTGTTAACAAAATTATTTAAAAATGAAAGAAATCTTTCTTTTTGACTTGTCTTTTAAAACTTTCAGAAACAAATTATGTAATTTGATTGTAAGAAAATGTATTAAGATTTTCTTCCATATTTGAAAAAATTAGATTCAATTTGGAATTTGCTGAGAATGTAAACATTTTTGAAAATGCCAGAATTTATGTGGCCCAGTTTTAATTAGCAGAATATATCAAATATTGATAATTTTCTTCATCATTATTCTATTATTTGGAAGTATCTAATTTAAGGAATACATACAGTCTGTTTTTCTTTGGACTGTATAATATTTTAATGTTCTCTTTAAGAGGGAACAATTGCATATGTGCCCATCAACAATATGTGTCAAAATAAAATGACTTCAGAAGGACTTTCTGTGATGACATTTGGAAACTTAAAATATACATGATTTCTATTATATTGGAAGGTCTGTCACACATGAGGTTTCTGATAATTTCAGCAATTTCCTTTTGGAAATATAATGCATTTGATTATAGGAAAAGGGATTATGGTATCCATTAAGGCTGTGAATATTTAAAGGTTACTCTGATAAAGCCCATGCATGGATCAATAATTGTATGGTGATCTCAAGAGTCTCTGTCTGCCCTTTCTTTTGTTTGTAGTTGTTTTTTCCCCCTTCAAATACAGGAGCTGTTTAAGAGTGGGCATTTGGCTTCTTTTAACAGTGAAATTATATCAATCTCTTAATTGCTTCTTTTCATCTGTCTTGTTTCATACATGATGTTTCATTCTGAATGCCTGCTTCGCACCACTTCATTGCAAGGACCTCATGAAATGGACTCCCTTCAAAAGGGGATCTTGCATGATCTTTCATGTTTTATGTGTTTCTACTAATATTTATCATACAGCTTATTAACCTTTGTCTGTCTGGAACAGGCTGCATATGAAGTATGGACTTCTTAATTTATTTTACTGTTTTACTTCATTTACTTTGGATTCCTTATGCAGGTTGTATCTGAAAATGCTAATTACCTGCGAACACCGAGAACTCTTGTGGAACAGAAGCAGAATCCTACTGTAGGTATGTGGTATAAAGGAAATTGTGTTCCATACCCTTCTTAAACTCACTATTGTGCACACATGTAAAACTCTTTGGTGAAAGCATGACCAAATGCTATGCTGTAGTTTTTATTTGATGTGTACTAATTCAGAAATGTTGAGTTGTATAACTCAAAATATAGTTTTGATAAAATGAAGAAGAGATAGCATTCAGTTTTGTTGCATAACCCTTTTGAATGCCTGCAGTGATAACCACTTAGTTAACTTGCCAATGCTAGTTTTTAATCTTGTACTCTGTAAGTTAATTTATGAAGGAAATGTCATTTTCCCAGTTGATAAAGATGAAAAGATGCTATTGCATGCAGAAAGGAACTTTCCATTTTTCTGACTAAAAATATTTTTAAAGTATGGAATACTTCAAACCATATATGAATATATTAATTTTCCTTTGAGCAGCTCATAAGGAAAACCAAGCAAAACTAATGCACAGTGGCACTCTCAGTCTTTATTAACCTATGGAACATAATTGGTTCTTTGCTAACACTCAAAGCAACATTGGAAAAGACCTTTCTAAAGTCATTTGGTTTAAAGCTCATGGTTGATAAACTATGAGATAGTGGCATATTATTTTCTGTAAATAGTTGTCCTGATAGGTTTAATAAAGTCATAAACAGATCTCATTGTAAGTTTATGTATGTACTGTGATCTCTGTACTAAGTGTATGAACTGTGTTGATGCCTACATACTTGAGGATCTCTCTTTAGTTAATTTCATATAGCTTGTAATGATAGTTTTTAATATTCCCACAGTATATTTACAGAAATTTATATATTACTCCTTCTTATTGATGTATCATAGTATATTTGATAGAAATTTATTTAATCCTTCCCCAGTGATAAAAGTGTTATTTGGATGTAAAAACTTTTGCTACAAATTGAGCATCAGTTTATACTGACTGTTTTATTTGCTAGTAATGTTTTTCATTGGGGGTCTTCTTAATTAAGATATTAAGTCATTTGTTAAGTATTTAAAGTGATTTAGGCCTTGAATGACTGAAAAGAACCTGGTCTTCTCACAAATAAATAAATTTTGATATACTTTATTTCATAAGAAAGAGTAGTAATTCTTAATTCAGGGGCATCAGGAAAGATTTGTCGTTTATAAATATACATTAAAAATACTGATTTTATGTTACTTAATTTGTGCTAGGAGAGGTTTTTGGTTTTTTTTTTTTTTTTTTTTTTTTTTTTTTTGTAAATATGGCTTGCCCTTGGGAATTGATTAACAGAGTTCTTTCTTGTCCTAAGTTATTTTTATGGCAGTGTTTTTAATACTTTAGGATGTATACGTCTAATTATTGTATGGACATATTTTTTTTCTCAAAGATAACATTTTGTCCAATGTGAAATTACCCCATTTGTACCTATGATAAATGTTAGTGGTGTTTAGAAGTATTGTATTAAAACTGACATCATTAGGAAATTACAAGAATATTGTGAGCCTGTTCAAGGCACTTCCAAAAGTTGCCTTATATGTGGTAAGAGCCATGTTAATTGCATGCTGCATGAATTCCCAATGTGAATGGAAGAACACCCGTTGTGTATGTATTTTCTCTAACTCCCATCAGGGTCTCACTGTGCGGGCCTGTTTAGCACCTCGGTGCTCGGGGGTTCTTCAAGCGCACCTAACCTACAGGATTATGCTCGTACTCATCGTAAAAAGCTGACCTCTTCTGGCTGCATAGATGGTATGTGCACACATGCACACACAGATTCATATCTACACCCAAGCACACACCCATGAGCAGTATTTCTCAAAGGCAAATCTAAGGCCACTGACTGATTCGAGTGAAATCCTGTCATCTTTTGCCTAAATGACTATCAGTGCTCTCTGTTACCTACAACTTGGATCCATGTTTCATCAGACAGTTAATTGTAGTTAGGTTTAGAGTACTTGTACAATAAGTTTGTTGAAATGGAAAATAGTATTGTGTGTATTCTTCTTTTAGATAATTTATAATCTATATTATAAAGAACAAGTGTTTCTTTGATCTTTTAAACTTTTATTTATTGTTAACACTTATTTTACTTATTGAGCTAATTAAAGGGAGTGGAATGTTTATAAGTAGAGGACAATATTATATTGGTAATATTTTTATAAAAATAAACACAGGATGAGAATATTTTAGGATCCCTAGCTGAAGGAGATCCTCTTAATGTTATTAATATACCTTAAGTTTTAATATTCAGAATTTTTTGAGGCTCATGGAAGCGTGTCCCTTTTGTTAAGAGTAGTGGTTCTAGCTCTTTCAGGATCATCTTTATTTAAAACAGTTTCTCATTTATCAACACATTTATTTTAGACAGTAAAACATGGATTTACCAGAATTGCCAGCTCATCTTGCTTTTCTTTCTTTTGTATATTTCATTTGACACTTTTCCTCTGTCATCAAGCTAGTTAACTTCTTTTAACCAATATTTGCCTTATTACCTTCTGTCATTGTCCCTTCTGCATGCCACCTTTCTAACCTCATATATTTGTTTTTCCCTTCTTTCTTTTAAGTGTTCTTCTTTTTGTAGCTGTTATGAATTTCAGGTACCTGTTTTTCTCTTTCTTAGACGCCACACGCGGTTCTGCTGTTAAAAGGTTTTCTATCTCATTTGCTCGACACCCAACCAATGGTACGTTTTGCTTTTATTTTAAAAGATACTCCCCTGCTTCATCCCTTTTTTATTTTTATTTTATTTCAAAATGTGGGGTATACAGTATCATTCATTTCTTCATCCTTATTGTCAATTGGCATACAATTCCAACTTGTTATTCACCCAAATTATTGATACTGTCTAGCTCCCTTTTCAGCTGTAATTTATATAATAATTTAACATTACTCATCAAACTTTTAAATGACCACAATGATGATGAGTTTTAATGCTAAATTAACACCTGAAAATTTCTTCTAATTTCTCAGATGATCAGTCTACACAAATTTTTAAATTTCAATTAGTATTCTTTAATTTTTCTTAATTCTCAGTAACTTTTTTCTTCCTAATTTTCTGATCATATGGTTGTTTTATTGAGATAGTTAAACAAAAATACAGAGTCACCCATGTCAAATAGCCAAATAAGATGTGTTTTGAAAAATTCTTGGGCACCTGGTGATGCATATTTCTCTGTATAACATCGTCTGTTCCTGGCTATTTTCCTAAAGCAATACCCTATTTGGTCTGGAGCACTCTGAAAACTTTGTCCAGCATTCACTTTGTTCTTGTGTAGCAATGTGGTTTGCTATTATCAAGCAACCAATTCCTTTTAGTACCACTGCTTTTCTTAAAATTTAGAGGGCTCCTAGTAAGAGGAAGATTAAGATCTAGAAACCCAATTGTGTTAAGTTCCATTTTTGAGGCTGAATAGGAAAGTTTTTCATGACCATTATTTGTAAAAGGAATTATTGCAGCATTATAACTTCTAACATAGACCTTGATATTGTGGAGCAAGAGGGAATATTTACTGATCATTTTACAATAATTCAGGATCAAAGAATTTAAAAGAAAACTTACAGATTTTTGCTTGTATTACACATGGAATGAAGATACTTTTATCCCTGGAACTCTTTTTCTTTTTAACTGCAAGTAAGTCTTTCAAAAACTCAAGTCAGATCTTTCAGAAACTTTTATGAAGCTAAAGGATTCAACACAAGTTTATGGTCATTCTCCCCGTTCTGGATCCTTTAACAACACATCTAAATAACATTGCACTAATAATTCTTGAAGGTGGAATAAGAAGATCTCATCCTCAACAAGTAAAAATTTAGCCTTAAAGCTTAATGTACTTTCCCTTCATTGTAGCTGTTTAAATGCTACTTTTTGAAGAAAGTGATTCTTATTTGATACAGCTGCAGCTTCTAAAGAACCCGCATGCCTAAGAACCTCTTAGAAGAAACACAGAAGTCACAAGAAAAACAGAAGCCACAAAAATTCTAAGAAGAGACATTGCAGGTTTAAGACCGTAGTTTTTGTACTGAATGCTATGTGTTTAAAACCAGTATTTGAGGTATTATTATCTAGGAGAATCTGTGTTTAACTGAAGGTTTTAAAAATTAAAAATATTTCTGTTAATTTTAATAGAAAATAGAGTAATTTTATATTCCTTTGGTTTAGGCTCTTTTTAAAAAAATGTGGATTTTCCACACATATAAATGCATATGAGATGCATTCCTTTCAATTCTACAAATATTTATTTTGAGTTTTAAGGTTTCCTTTTTTCCTTTTTTAATACTGTGTTGTCTTATCTGTCTTACGAATTGTCATTTGACTCTTCCTTTTACTTTTTATTTCCCCTAACTTTCATGTTATTTCCATCTTTAACACATATCATGGACTTACCCCTCCCTTCATCTTTAGTTCAAGGAACATGGTGAAACAAGTACCTTCTGACAGTGCTTTACCTTATTTTCTGGGCCTCTGTGCAGAACACCTACACCTCTATAGGTGCTGGTCCGTTTCCTCTGTGGAATTTCTAGGCTCCAGTGGTATGTTTTTATAGCTTCTAAACATGTCAGCAGGGTGGCTTTTTAAATTGCTGCGCTAACCCTTTCATTGTGCATCAAAGGAAAAGTTTACTAAAGATAAGTGGAAAAAAATATAGTCTAGAGGAACTTAATTATATTGTCATTTGCCTGTTATAAAATCTAGCAGGCAAATGAAATAAAATAATTGCTATAAAAGATATATAAACTTTGTGAGGAAAGAAGAAAAGATCTCATCGTTAAGTTTAGTGTAATGCAAAGAAAGGGTTTGCGCTCATTTGCATGAATCTTGTACTTCTAAAAAATGTAACAGTTGTGCAAGCCTAATTTCTTTAGTGCTTAATTTAGGTGCTTTAGCTGCTGTTATGGTATAGTTTTTGTTTTTGTTTTCAAAGTATGTGTAATGTTCTGTCATGCTTTGGTTTGTACCTGAAAATCAGACATACCAGTTTTGCAAGTCCTTTGGTTATTTTCCTAGGAAGATTAGATTCTCTTTTAACCAAAGTTTCCTTATTCTAACTGAGAATTAGGCAGTTCTTGAGTCAATATTTCCTTCAATATTTAAATAAATCAAACATCAGTCAATTTAAAAATGAGCACACACCTATTGAAGCAAAGAGTCTTGCAATCTGAGGTTAATTTTTATTTTTAATATTTGACTTGATAGAAAATTTTATTTGAGTATTGTAGGTATTTAATTGGGGGAAATTCGTTTGGATTTTTAGAAGAGTAGATGCAGAAAGACTCGTTATTTTTAACAGTATATGAAAGCAATTTTAAAAGCCATTCAGTTGAATAAAGTTTAAATAAACAGGCAATTTTCTTTTTTAAAAAAGTGAATAACCTATATCCTATTTGTTTGAAAACATAAACTGTGTATTTAAGTGCTTTTGTTTCAGTGATGGTATTAATACATATTTGCATGATTGTTTCATGAAATTTTTGTATTTCTGTGCCATTGTTAAAAATAGGATCATATTTGTATTTTGTATTGCTTTTAACTTGACCTAACTTTACACAGCCAGTGATTCCTAGTAATATAATTATGTGTTAATACAGTAAAGGTAGGTGAAATATGTTTTGGAATTTTTATTCCAGCATGAATGAATGAATGTTGTTTTGGGCTCATACTAGAGAGTGTCATTGGTCTTGGCACGCCTGGAAAAGTATCTAAAAAATTATTATATAATTTTTCAACAAGAACTTACTGTTAGCATCCTGGCATCAGGGATACATCATGTGGCATCAGCTTATTCACCCACTGAATAGACCTGACTTCAAAAAATAAAAACTGAAAACTTGTATTTCTTTGGTTTTTTTCCCTAGGTTTTTAAAGTATTATTCTTAGATTTTACCAATATAGAATGAAATTGTGTGCATGCTATACTACATGATTACATTTAAAAAGAAATCTTTGTCACATCTTGTTCCAGCTCCATATTGCATAGCATCTGGTGTCATGACTTCAGAGATATTGTGTGTTTGCATGTGATAGATTGAAAAGACCTAAACTGTCCAGTTCTAAAGAGTAGTCTTCCTTTTTAATTACTGATTTTTAAAATATCCATCTTTTATTTTTTGTTTTTGGTTTTTTTCTCTTCTAGGCTTTGAATTGTATTCCATGGTGCCATCTATTTGTCCTCTAGAAACTCTTCATAATGCCCTATCTTTAAAGCAAGTGGATGAATTTCTTGCTTCCATTGCTTCTCCATCATCTGATGTTCCACGGAAGACCCCTGAAATTTGTAGGAAATTTTTCTTTCATTGTTATTATTTAGTTGCTGGGCAACTACATACTATCTGAATATAACAGAAATTATGAAAACATAAAAGCAGGTAGTGGTAATGAGTAGAAGTTTAGGGGACAAAGGAGTTTAAAGGGACATTATTAGGAATTCTTTGGTGTAATGTGAACTGTAGCTCTTTTTTTTGCTCTCTGCCAAATTCTTTTTTTCTTACCAAAAAAAAAATAAAAAAGCAGTAGAAGTCAACAAAATATAGGGTTGTGGTCTTTTGTTAAAACTATGTTTGCTAGAAATCTCACATTCCTATTGTATATAATTTTATAGCAAAGTTTTTTAAAACTGCAAAATAACAGTCCGCATTAACCCATTCATACACACTCATCTCCTGACTCCCTTTGGTAAGTAGAAAGAGCTTTTAACTAAAGACAGCAAATTAGGACAACAGTTTTTCAAATTGTGTATCTCAGAAAACATTCAGAAGAGGTTAATTTGTGTGTTTGAAGGAAAGATGTTCGTGGTTAAATAAGTTTTAGAAACTATGTTATATCCCGCCTCCTGTTGGAGAAGTATAGCTGTATTAGCATATAAAAGGCTGACGTTCTTCTGTAAAGAAGGCTGTATAACCCAGATTTTCCAAAACTTATTTTTTAGAAAACACTTTTTTGGTAACACATTAAATATCATGTGGCACTATTCTGAGGGACATCATTTTGGAAAATGCTCAGGGCTTCCTTTTTAGGTGTGAGAAGTCAGCTGCCAGTTGTCGGTTTCAGCTCTGTAGGATTCCTCAGTACTTTGGAAATTCCAGTTTGGAAAGCATTAGTTTTGGGAGAGAGTGCTTTTTGCTTAGAGCTAAGAATCTTACTATTCTAGTCATATCTTAGAAAGTGACAAACTTTCTTTGTATATCATTCCTCTTTTTCTGAGTGCTGTAAATAAATTTTGCTCAAGAATAAAATGAGATATTAGAGCTCTCGGAATGAATGCCACTTTTATGTCTGACCGTCACTCTCTTCTCTTTCCTGGGCCACCACATTGTATAATTCTAGAGAGCTCTATTCTCTTTATATTCTGTCTAAATGATACCCCCTGCATTTATACAAAGTAGTGACCTTTCCCTTTTCTTCCATTTTTGGTAGTAGAGGCCAGCTTTCAATCATTAACAGTAATAGAGATGTATATTGGTGAGTGTTCTAAAGTATTTCACTTTAGGGATGGTTTTAGGAAGTAGGTCTTAATTTAAAAATTTGCATATATATGTGTCCGATTCTTAGAACTGATAATACTCCAAATGAAATAACTTCTCCAAGTGGTAACGGTCAGAGTCAGGAAAATGAAGGTGGTCATCTCCTTTTATATTTTCTATAACCTGATAGAATGGACAATGCTGTTACCTCAGAATATAGTAGAGAACCTGAATAAATTCTAGTTTACCCCTTCACCCTTAATGATTTTTCATTGCTTCCCTGGGGAAAGGATTTGAAATCTTAAAATAGAGATTAAAGAATTATTCTAATTAGTAAATAAGAATTTAGGGGTAGATATCAATACTATTTAGATTTTAGAAGACTTGCAGTGAATGATTTGAAGGTAATAAAAATAGTAAGGTGTTTGTTACGAAAGGAGAATTTTAGTAGAATATTTACAAAAAGATAACATTTTAAGGTTTGTTTTGTGATACTTTTGATGGATTTATTTTTGTGGTTAGTGAATTCAATTCATCAGAGTATATTACTGAAGGATATTAATGAAGCAAAGGATATTAGATTCTTGTTCCGGTTGTGCTAATTTCTAATTAGCTCTTCTGTATATCATGGATACAAATTGTACCTCAGTCCCTCTAGCTCTCTTAAAATTTCATGCAATTAGTTACTAACAGAACTAAATGAGAACGTAAATGTACTTAATGTGGCTCATAGAATTGGGTAAACCTTAGTTTAATAATCTAGTTCATTGGTCTTCAAACTGTATTCCCAAGAGCCTGTGGAAATTTCATGAGGAAGAGAAAGATGCTGAATAGTTAGGACTTGTGTCTTTCATGGCTGCTTCAACCAGAGTATCTGCTTTGGTCTATTTTATTTAAGATTTCACTTAAGAACAGCTTTACTATTTAAAGAAAAAAATCATAGAAAGATACAGTTAAGGAAATCAATGAGTTAGTGGTCAAGCAAGACTAAAACCCAGGTCTTCTAAAGCCTCTATTTTTCTCATTATTTTTGAATAGCAAAGAAAATAGGGTGCCAGTTATGATGAAAGTATTTGAATCTTGCATTTTATAGAGTAACTATAGGAATAATATTTATTAAATCATAGGATATTTATATTATTTGCAATTAGTTCTCTGAGTTATCAAGCTGTAACTTGATATATATATATCATCATATACATAGAATTATATTCATTTTGTGGTGTTTGTATCAAGGGAAAAGGAACTGTTAATCATTCTCTGTCCTTCCAACTTTTTTTTTCCTAAAAAAACTAAGGCAAAATAAATAAATATTAATACTAAAAGATAGCTTACAATGGGGAAGTGACAATATCAGGTTGGAGAAAAAGGAGTAGGTATATTAATTAGGATAAGTTAGTGATGGAAGTTCATAGAGTAGGGTAAAAATATGCAAGCAGGAAAGGGCTAAGTAAATTTATGTTGTTTTATGATGTTTTAAGGCCTTTTTATCACTTAGATTATTTTCATTAATAACTACTTTGAGCTCTCTCAGTTAAATGTATAATCATTCTTTGTAGGTGTCAACCAGCAAAGGCACATTTGCCATAACTAGCCCACATCTTGATTTTCAAAAGCACGCTGCATCTCCCTTTGTTTAGGGAATCTACAAGCTCATGCCGGTAGTGGATAAATAAATGAGTCAATATATTGGATACACTCCCAACTGCAGAATTGTCTGTTTCTCCCTTTAATTTGGCAGATTTTTGCTTTGTGTGTTTTGGAGCTCTGTTACATAATGCATATTTGATAATTGGTTCTTCCTAATATCCCCTACTTTGGCCTGTCCTTGCCTAGAGGATTCCATACTTAAGAATTATCCCTACTTCTCCTTTTTACACCTTTCAATTTCTCTGTCTTAGTTAGAAAGAGAACCGGAAAAACCCAACTTTAAAATTCACTCCCTCTCATTTAGTTAAATTTCAACTGGCTAATATAGGAAAATAGTGTCTTTTATTACTTACAACTTAATTAGTTTATTCCTAAATATGGTAGTTTAGTATACCATTATATTTGTAGATGAAACATCCCCGAATCTATAATTATTATTTTTTTTAAGAGAAAAACCGTTCAAGACTCTGTCTCTTTATTCCCCACCCCCCACCCCCCCGAGACAGAGTTTTGCTCTGTCGCCCAGGCTGGAGTGCAGTGGCACAATTATGGCACACTACAGCCTCAACCTTCCAGGCTCAAGCAGTCCTTCTGCCTCAGCCTCCCGAGTAGCTGGAACCACAGACCCAGCTAATTTTTAAATTTTCAATAGAAATGAGGCCTCCCTGTGTTGCCCAGGCTGGTCTTGAACTCCTGGGGTCAAGCGATCTTCCTGCCTTGGCCTAACTAAATTGTAAGTAATAAATAAATCAAATTATTTTTCTATATTAGCCGGTTGAAATTTATCCTCCCAGTCCCTGGCCAGGCATGGTGGTTTATGCCTGTAATTCTAGCATGAACTACCACACCTGGTGAGGGGATTACTGACTCTGTTACCATTCAAGAAAACTATGCCATTAGCTCTTTTCCATGCCTTAAAAACCTCAGTTTCTGTCAGGAAAGGATAAAGTCTGTTGCTCTCTTCTTGGCATTCCTTTGGTGCATACTATTTAAATGCTTATTATTTACAATATAAACAAAACATCGATTTGTTTAAGGCCATAAGAGAACTATCTTTTTATTTAAAAAGATGATTTTGCTGAATTTACCTTGCAAAGCTTACCTTGACCATTTTCTTCTGTTATTATGAATATTTGTAGGTTCACTAAATTATAAGAAATTTTCTGTGATGTTAAGATATAATTGGCAGGAAATTATTAAATTAACATGTTTGTTTATTTTTTTCAGCCTCTACAGCTTTACGTTCCAGTCCAATAATGAGAAAAAAAGTATCTTTAAATACGTATACACCTGCAAAGATCCTCCCAACACCACCAGCTACCTTAAAGAGTACTAAAGCAAGCAGCAAACCAGGTTAGGGGTGTGTGTGTTGAGTTTGTGGATTTGCCCCAGAAATAAGAGGAATAGTAACTTGCTTTTTAAATGTTAAATTTGTTTTTAATTAGGATCTTTACACTTCCCTAGAACGTAATGATCCTAAGGGTTAAAAATCTATTATTGTAGTCTATTGATATATGTGTTTTTTGTCTGTTGTCTTCCTCTCTCCCTACATTTGTTCACAAAATATATTTCACAATCACACTTTTCCCCAACTAATTTATGGACTGTCTTCTTTTGCCTTTCTTTTGAGTTTAAGGCATCATCTTATATGAAAATTTCTGTGGGCCAGGCATAGTGGTATACACCTGTAATCCCAGCTACTCAGGAAGTGGAGGTATGAGGGTTACTTAAGCCCAGGAGTTCAAGTCCAACCTAGGCAACATAGCAAGACCCTGTCTCAAGTATTAAAAAAAGAAAGAAAAAAATTGTTTTCTCTTTCCTGAGAATATTTGCATCTCTCCATTCTCAGTCTGATTATGTGACTACCAAAATTAACTATCTTTTATTAGCATTTTTCTACTTTAGCTTCATGGCACATTTAATATTTTTGACCTTTCCTGAAATGCTGTCTTACCCTATTACTCTATTGTGATATTCTATCCATGTATCTTATTCCTCTACTTTTCTTTCTGCTTTCTTATCCCAGACAAGAACATGATACTCTATTCATTTTCTTACCCTATATATTTTTTCCTCAGAGAATTTCATATACCTCCAAAGCTTTGACAACGGCTTCATTGCAGATGTCTTCATTCGTTTCTTCTTAGTGCTCTCAAATGTTCTTTTGATTAAGAGTTTATGCTTAACAGTCAGAGAAACCTAGATTAAAATCTCAGTTCTGCTACTTATTAGCTGTGTGACTCTGGACAAGTTACTTAACCTCTCTGATCTTTAGTCTCATAGTCATAAAATCAGGGTAATACTACCTTCTTCATAAAATTGTCAGAAATAATTGCAATCTTATATATAAAGTACTTGGCACACATAGTAAACACTCACTAAATGGTAACTGCTATTAATTGTTATATTGTATCCAAACTGCTCTCTTTACTTCTCCCCAAATAAATTCCCTTAGCATTCATGCCTTTTTTTTCTATTAAAATGTTATCCCTTTTACCTCACATCCTTCAAGACTCAATCCGACCTCTTCCACTGATAATGTATTTTTATGATTATCAAAACACGAACTTCAATAATGCTCTGTGCTACTGATTTGATCTATTATACCTGATTACTATCAGATTACCAGGCCTTGTAAGTCAGAGGCACTATCTTAAACCACAAATATTATAGATTTGAACCTTGCACATTCCAACTAATAAGTATGTGAAACAACAGACAATTGAGTAAGTATCTTAAATATAAGTTGTGGTGCATACCATATACCACAAAAAGCTAACATTTGTATAGTTATTTATATTATAAGCATTTTTCTATTCTCATAGTTCTCACTATAAATGTTAGTGGTCAATACCATTCTTATGTCCATTACAGATGAAAAAAGTAACAGAGATAGTAACTTAATCTCAGTTTACATAGCTAGTAGTCGGTAGACCTAGGATTTGAATGCATTTTGACTCAGTACATTGTTCTTTAGACACATAATAAATGCATTAGTTCATATACATTTTTAAGTAATAAAGTAAAAATGGTGTTATATTTGACATTTCAAATGTTAAGTCAACCTTGCATTCCTAGGATGAACGCTACTCAGTCATGATATATTATATATATGAAGGTCTATAAAATTCTCTGAGGAAAAAAACATAGGGTAAGACAAACGAACAGAGTAGCATGTAACTGTATGAGATAAGAAAGTGGGAAAAAGAAGGATCATCAACCGGAAAAGTGTATCAGAGAAACGGAAAGAATATCATGATAGAATAATATCTTGGAAGTCAGGGTAAGAGAGCATTTCAGGAAGGATCAACAATACAATCAAATGTGCCACGAAGTTAAGATAGAAAAATGCTGACAAAAAACAGTTGAATTTGATTTTGAAGAAATTTGCATTTGCATTTGCATTTGCATTTGTAAAAGATAGGATATTAGTCTGTAGTATTTTTGTTTCTGTTTTTGTAATGCCTTTTTCCAGGTTTTGGTATCAGAGTAATGCTAGCTTCATAAAATAATTTGGAAGTGCTTTCTATTTTCTGAAAGAGTTTTTATAAGATTTTTATTTCTTCCTTGAATGTTTGGTAGAATTAATTTTATTTCAATTAATTTTGATAGAATTTATCTTTCCTTTTTGTGATACTTTTGGTAGTTGTATTTTTTTTAGGAATTTGTTCATTTTATGTAAGTTGTCAAATTTGTTGCTCTTTTATTATCTTTTTAATGAATGTGATAATAACTTTCATGATACTGGTAATTTGTGTTCTTTTTTTGTGATCATTCTCACTAGGGATTTATCAATTTTGTTGGCTTTTTCAAAGAACCAACTTTTGGCTCTTTGTTTTTCTGTTGGTTTTATGTTTAAAACACAATTTTTTGTTTGTTTGGTTTTTTTCAACAGAGTCTCCCTCTGTTGCCCCAGCTGGTGTGCAGTGGTGTGATCTCTGCTCACTGCAACCTCCACCTCCCAGGTTCAAGCAATTCTGCCTCAGCCTCCCAAGTAGCTGGGATTACAGGTGACCGCCACCACGCCTGGCTAGTTTTTTTATGTTATTAGTAGAGATGGGGTTTCACCATGTTGGCCAGGCTGGTGTCGAACTCCTGACCTCAGGTGATTCGCCCGCCTCAGCCTCCCAAAGTGCTGGGATTACAGGTGTGAGCCACGGCACCCGGCCTTAAAACACAATTTTTTTTAAATTATTTTAAATTATTTTAATTATTTTAAAAATTATTTTCTACGTTCTACTTACTTTGGGTTTACTTTTATCCTCTATTTCTAGTTTCTTAGGTCATTGATTGTTATCTATTTCAAACATTTAAAACTTTAAGTTTCCCTCTAAGCATTTTAGTTGCGTCTCACAAATGTTATATTGTATTTTCATTATCATTCGGTTAGAAATACTTTCTAGTTTATGTGTGATTTCTTCTTTGATCCATTGCATATTTAGAATTGTATTGGTTAAATTCCAAATATTGAGGGGTTTTTTATTGTTTTCAATCAATTTCTTATTTAGTTCCATTGCAGTTATAAAAACATACGCCGTGTGATTTCAGTCTTTTAAATGTAGGACTTATTTTATGGCTTAACATCTGGAATATTTTGAATATAATATGTGTACTAAAAAAAACCCAAATGTTTGTCTTATAGTTCATTGATCCTAATGGACACTATTTTATCATTGTGCCTGGGTTCAAGGTTGTTGATAATGTTCAGATAGTCAGTCTTTACTATTTGGTTTTTCTTTGGCAGAGAGGTGGTCAAGGAAGGGATTGGTTGTTCTATCAATTGTACAGAGAGCAATTACACTCACAACTGCCGAATTGTCTGTTTCTCCCTTTCATTTGGCAGATTTTTGCTTTGTGTGTTTTGGAGCTCTGTTATATAATTAAATGCATATTTGATTATGGGATCTTCCTAATATATTGACTCATTTATTATCATGACTTTTTTTCTCTTTAATTTCCAGTAATGTTTTGTTTTTAAGGTTTGTTTTATCTGATGTGATATAGGTCATCAAACTTTCTTATGCAAGGCATTCTAACAATATCTGCCTTATAGTTGCAGTTTACAGTTCATTAACATTTAATGTAATTATTGATCTGTTGAGGTTAGTCTACTACTTTATGTTTTCTGTTTATTCCTTTTGATTATTATACCTTTATTCTTTCCTACTCTACCTTATTTTGTACTAATTCAATATTTTTAAGAATGTTATTTAACTTTTTCTATGGACTTTTGCTATATCTTTTTGCATTTTTTTGTTGTTGTTGTTGCTCTAAATATATATTCCTAATTTTTCACCATCTACTTAGGGTTAATTTTGCACCACTGAAAGTAAAATATAGAAACCTTGCCACTGTATAGATTCATTTACCTTACCCTCTTCCCATTCTTTATACATAGTTATCCTTATATGTTACTTCCACATATATTATAAACACTATAATACAATGTTATGATATTTGCTTTAAGCAGTCATATGTATTTTAAAGAAACTTAGAGGAGAAAGAGGTTCTATATGTATCCATATATTTACCACATTTTTTGCTCTTTATTCCTTCCTTGAAGTCTGTGTTTCCATCTGGTTTCATTTGCCTTCAGCCTGAAGCTTTTTAGCATTTCTTAATCTGCAGGTCTGTTGGCAACAAATTCTATTCATTTTATTGTGTCTGAAAAATGGCTTTATTTTGCCTTCATTTTTGCAGTGTAGTTTTTGCCAAATAGAGAATTCTAGGTAGAAAATTTTTTATTTCAGCACTTTCATGATATTCTACTGTCTTCTGGTTCCCATTGTTTCTGATAAGAAGACTTAGTTAATTTGAATTACTGTTCACATAAATGCAATGGGTTGTTTTTCTGTGCTTGCTTTCAGTGTTTTCTCTTTATCTTTGATTTTCAGCAGGTTGACTATGGCATATTTATGTCTATATTTTTTTTCTTTTTTTGTAATACTCCAAAAAATATGTTGATTTGGTTGATATTGACTTGGTTGATTTGGTTGATGTTTACTTTTACTTACTTTTCATTCTGTTGTTAAACCCATCTAGTTTTTATTTCAGACCTTTTATTTCAGGTATTTATTCTTTTAAATGTTCTGTTTGATTCTTTTAAATAGTTTTTTTGCAGGGATTTTTCTCTTTTTATTCATTATAAACTTATGTGTCTTTGTCCTAGAGCATAGTTAGAATTGTTGCTTTAAAATTCTTGTCTGTTAATCTGACTCATCTCCAAAGAGATCTGTATCAATTTATGCATTCTCAGCAAGAAAGATCTTTTTCTGTTTCTTAGTATATTAATTTTGGATTATATTGTAGACATTGTGAATGGTATGTTATAGAAACTCTGGATTTTGTTATTTCTGTTATGTTCCTCCAAAAAAAATATTGTTTTGTTTGTTTTTAAACAAAGAGTTAGCCTTGGCTGAGCTCAGATTGTAAAACATGGTGTTCCATGTAGTGGCTGGCAAAAATTTCAGTTCATTTTGCTTTAGCTGGGCTCCTTGGACTTTACTTTGCTCATGCCATACATTTGACCATCATTTACAAATAGAATTGTGGGCTCATCCTTTCTGAGATTTTCCACCTTACTTTCTAGTAGCTGTGGTTGCCGCAATACTTGTCTTCTGCTTCTTATGTTGGACTTGTAGCCATTGTACATGGTGCGTATTAGGGCCTATCCTCAGGCTAAAAAGAAGGGGAATCTTATCCCATATTGTTCCCTTTTTCCAAGTACTGATTCTTCTCTAGTAACGGCCCGCTCTTGTTCACTATTTAGTGTCTTCAGGTAGTTCTTCCTCATATTTAGTACAGAGTGTATATTTGTTATCTGTGGGAAGATTGGTCTGATAGGAGCTTACCCATACATCTATTCATCCATATTAGAAATGTAGTAAAGTAATGCCACCTAGAATGGTTTTTTAATTATTTATTTATTAATTATTATCATTTTTTTCTTTTGAGACAACATCTTGTTCTCTTACCCAAGCTGGACTACAGTGTTGCAATCATAGCTCACTGCAGCCTCAACCTCCCAGGCTCAAGCAATCTTCTTACCTTGGCCTCCTGGGTAGCTGAGACTATAAGTGTGCGCCACCACACCCAGCTAATTTTTAAAGTTTTTTGTAGAGAAGGGGGTCTCACTATGTTGCCAGGGCTGGTCTTGAACTTCTGGGCTCAAGCGATCCTCCCACATTGGCCCTCCAAAGTGTTGGGATTATAGGTATGAATCACCCTGCCTGGCCTAGAGTAGTTTTTTGATAATTCATTAAGACTTCATGTTGGTTTAGATATGGAAGGATGATTCCTAAGTTAAGAGTGCTTCTAGGTTTCTTACCTTCTAGCTTTTTAGAGTGGGATAAGATAGAAGATACAGGAGGAAATAGATGCTTGTAGGGAAAATGATGAGTTCAGTTTATGCACATTGTTTGTCTGTCTTGTCAGATATCTTTAAAGAAAGTTTCAATTGGCAGTTGTATATACATGTCTTGAGCTAAAGGAAAAGGCCCAGGCCAAAAGTATAAATTTGAAAATCATTAGCACAATGAATGGTAGTTAAAAATTATAAAAATATATTCATTTCCTAGGAAGAATGTAGAGTAAAATGAGAAATTAATTTTATGAACCCAGTCCATTGTCATTACCTTTCTATATTCGTGTTGAATTCTGAAAAGTAAAAGGTTAAAAATGCTATATTAAATTTTTACATTTCATTTACATCACAGTTATAACAAGAATTGTTTTGTCAATCAGGAGTATTATTTGAACTTGGATTGTTTGTGTAAATTTAAGCAATAGTTTTTTGTTTTTGTTTTTGTTTTGTGTAGCTGCAAGTGGACCTTCTAGTGCAGTTGTTCCTAATACCTCATCTCGGAAAAAGAGTATAACTAGCAAAACAGAAACGCATGAACACAAAAAAAACACTGGGAAAAAGAAATGAAATCTTAGCAGAAGCTGGACTTTTTATACTTATAAAAATAGTATGTTCTTATGTTTCTCCTTATGCATTTATGTGTTCACTTAAAAATGTTTTTAAATCTAAGGGTTTCTTTGTTTATATTCAGGTAAGGAACTTTTGTCATGATCTGGAAATGTTTAAAACGATGTTTGTAGGCATTCTGTGAGTAGCAAAACTTATAGTGATAAAAATTGATTGTTGTTAATATGATGTTTACCATGTGCACACAGTAATGAAAAGGAACATAAAAGCCCAACAGGCTCGTACCAAAGTCACACCAGTAATGCTATGTACTGCAGAGTCTGATTAGATGGCCTTTGTGCACACTTTTATATTCATGGGATTGCATCTTAGCTGTAAAAACTTCTAGGTTGAAATTTGATAGCCAGGGTTACATACTGGGGACTTTTAAAGTATCTTTCCAGAGAGATTTCATTAACCGTTTAGATTAGAATATCTTTCCCAATTGTTACAGTGACATATATGCTGCAATATTTAACAACTGGAGTATTAGCCACATGGGCTAATTTTCAATCTGTGTTTTGAATTTTTTTTATTATATGTTATTTAAAATATTACATATGCAGCTGGGAGAACTACACCTTTGTGCACATAGATTTATATATTAATTTGTAGAAAATATTTTCTTTATATATTTCCTTACCATACAAGGTGCCTTGTTCATCAGGAAAACTTTTGTTTCATATGTTGACAAGAAAGGCACCTTTAGAGTTTCTTTTTAAGTATAGTTGACAAATGTATAAATGTTACATTTATTTTCAGAGTTCTTTTTAGATCTAAAGAAGTCAGTTCAAAAATGGAAATCAACCATGTTAGGAGAAATCTGAATTCTGTTAAGTTAGTACATATTATGTATAGTATCTGTTTTTAACCATTTCCATTCTTATCCCTAGTGTATCAGTTGATCACACTAAGAAAGCTTAAAGATTGAGCATTTGAAATAAATGCTGTTTATAAATGATTAGATTTTTGAAGGGATATTGAAATCATTGTGCTGTGATTTCATCTATGATATGAAAAATAAATTTATTATCCTTGGTGCTTTTCCCCCCAACCAATGCACAGATAATTGTGAACCACTTGAAATGACTTAAACTGGTAATCCAAATGGGATAATCTGATAAGAATTTCATGCATTGCTAGTTAAATAATTTAAATTGCTAAAGCTTTAGCTTGAAACTTAGTTTAGAAAAACTATTGATTTCCCGTGGTATGAATATAACTATTGTAATTCTTCAAAAGAGATTCTTCTCACCTGAGTCATATATGAATTAACTTACAGGAAATAAGCATACTATATGTTAGCTGTTTTAAAAGGTACCAGATGTAAGAGTTATAAATATATACCATTAAAGAAGTTCATGTACTTCACATGAATGTAAATGTGTTATATGGAGACATGTCTTGTAAACAGTTGAATGTATGTAAGTTTTCTGTTTGTGAAAATGTAGTTAATGTACTCACTGTGGAGGTAATAAGGAAACTACTTTTTTTTAAAAGTGGAACCTAATTAAAATATTTCCAGAATCAAAGAGACTTAAATGGTAAATTTTTAAAATTTTCTTATCTCTTTTTAGTTTTCAAAGTAGAAAAAATCAGGAATTTTTTTTATTAACTAGTACTTACATATTAAATGAAATTTATTATTGGCTATATACATAGCAATATATTACTTTCCAAACTAGAAAGTACAGTACAACTCACTTTTTCTATTGTTATGCAAGAACTGTTACTTTACTGTAGTCACCAGCTCAGTAGTATTGCTCTGTAGACTAGAGAGTCTGTTTGTAAAAATCTTAGAATCATTTTCCAAAACAAATAAAAAGTCTACTATATCAGAGCAAAATATTATAGTTATCACTATTTAGTGGCAGTTTGACTGAAGCATCTGTTTCTCACTTGATTCTGTCCTGAGAAGATGTGAGATTTTTGGTTTTAAATACTAGAAGATATTTCTTCTTGTAGCCCAGTCCTGCATCCCAAAGAGGTGAACTACCCCAACATGAAGAATTGTTTATTCACCCTGAGATATTAATCTTCATAATATATTATTCAGTTCCTTCACCCTTAAAAGCCATATAATAAGCTCAGACCTAACTTAGCCCTTAAAGTCTAGTGCTGGCAGATTCTGCTGCCCTGGTTTAAATGAGTTACATAGTCCATTCTCAAATACTAGCAAATTTGTGGGGGGTGTTACAGCAATTTTTGGTGAAGAAGAAAAGTGTGCTGAACACCTTATGTCAATGATAGACAAGATATAGAGGCTGAAGGGAATACAGTAAAGTAACAAAAACATGTGGCAGTGTACTTAGTATAAACATAGAGCACAAAGGCAATAGATGGCAATTATGAGAGAAAAGTTAAAAGTTCTTCAAGAAATATCCACTTAAAAGTCACTAGCCAAGGAAAAAGTTTCTGTTTTCATCCGGACTTCTTTTTGGGTTCTGTTGATTCTGTCTGACCTAAATATCCACTGTTAACCAGTTCCATGCCAGTTTGAACCAAGATTTCACATTTTCGTTTTGTATTCATACTTTGGTAGAAATTTATCAGTCTTTGTGTGTTTATAAGAGTTTGCTTTACACATAGTGTACAGTGTTTATTACCTTTACATCATTTTATCCTTGCCTTACTATCTGGACACTGTAGACTGCCTATATTCTTATTTAGCTGGGGTTGGGATCTCTTCTGTTTAGCCCCTCTCTAATTCTCTTTTCCTGTGCCAGGAGATATCAAAACAACAGAATTCTTGCCATTGGGAACATTTTTCTTTTTTAGACAAGTTCTCATTCTGTCACCCAGGCTGGAGTGCAGTGACACAGTCTTAATTCACTACAGCCTTGAGCTCCTGGGCTCAAGAAATCTTTCTGCTTCAGCCTTCTAAGTAGCTGGTACTATAGGTGCGTGCCACCACAACCAGCTCATGGCACCAATTTTTACACTCCTTCTGAAGGAGTCATTTGTGATACGAGTCCAAGTACAAACAGGTTTCCCTCTGTACATAATCATAGGTACCAAAATAATACTGTGTAAAGTGTTGTTTATATAGGTCAATTTTTGTGGAAGATCTAATTTCTATTTTCAGAGAACAGAGCACAGTAAAAAAATCTATTTAGTGTTGTGTACTATATAATTTATATGAATTATAGCTCCTTAACTATTGCTGAGTTTTTTTTTTAAATATTTTAAGTTCTAGGGTACATGTACACAACGTGCAGGCTTGTTACATAGCTATACATGTGCCATGTTGGTTTGCTGCTCCCATCAACTCATCATTTACATTAGGTATTTCTCCTAATGCTGTCCCTCCCCCACCTCCCCCACCCACCAACAGGCCCCAGTGTGTGATGTTCCCCACCCTGTGTTCAAGTGATCTCACTGTTCAGTTCCCTCCTATGAATGAGAACATGCAGTGTTTGGTTTTCTGCCCTTGTGATAGTTTGCTGAGAATGATGGTTTCCAGCTTCATCCATGTCCCTGCAAAGGACGTGAATTCATCCTTTTTAATGGCTGCATAGTATTCCATGGTGTATATGTGCCACATTTTCTTAATCCAATCTATCACTGGTGGGCATTTGGGTTGGTTCCAAGTCTTTGCTATTGTGAATAATGCCGCAATAAACATACGTGTGTGTGTGTCATTATATTTTATTTTATTTTATTTTATTTTTTTGAGACGGAGTCTTGCTCTGTCACCCAGGCTGGAGTGCAGTGGCCGGATCTCAGCTCACTGCAGGCTCCGCCTCCCGGGTTCACGTCATTCTCCTGTCTCAGCCTCCGGAGCAGATAGGACTACAGGCGTCTGCCACCACGCCTGGCTAGTTTTTTGTATTTTTTTAGTAGAGACGGGGTTTCACCGTGTTAGCCAGGATGGTCTCGATCTCCTGACCTCGTGATCTGCCCGTCTCGGCCTCCCAAAGTGCCGGGATTACAGGCTTGAGCCACCACGCCCGGCCGTGTGTGTCATTATAATAGCATAATTTATAGTCCTTTGGGTATATAACCAGTAATGGGATCGCTGGGTCAAACGGTATTTCTAGTTCTAGATCCTTGAGGAATCGCCACACTGTCTTCTACAATGGTTGAACTAATTTACACTCACACCAACAGAAGCATTCCTATTTCTCCAAATCCTCTCCAGCATCTGTTGTTTCCTGACTTTGTCAATGATCGCCATTCTAACTGGCGTGAGATGGTATCCCATTGAGATTTTTATAAACTGCTTTTCTTTTGGTTCATATGCTTTGTCATGGATTGTGAGAAAAACATATCTTTTCGCTTAAGAGGATCACTGTCAATTTCTCCTTTTATTATCAATGGTTTTTACTTTACTTTTTATATAGTATGTGATTATGTTTTCTGATGCATTTGAATTCATGACTGCTAGATTTTCATTATGGGTTTTGCCTTATTATTATTAACATGTCCTTTTTGTCCACTGGATACTTTTTGTTCTATAAATTGTCAGATATTAAGATTATGACCTATGCTTTATTTTGGCTTGCATTTGCCTGATATTCATCTTTTTATTTTTTGGTATTTGTGTCACTTTGTTTTAGGTTATTTAATATAGTATATAGTGGGTTTTGCTTTGTGATTCAATTTTAAGACCCCTTTTACTTGATAGATTAGTGTAGTCTGTTTTATGTAATATATCTTTGCTTTTAGATTATGCTTTTTTTAATGGCTTTAAAATTTTTTTGTCTTTGTGTAACAATACTTTCCACTGCAAGCAGGAAAATTCCAATGGAAACTGGTTTAAATCCTAAGAAATTTATTATTACACATTTCTGAAGGTCCAAAGATGGAGTTGGCTTCAGCCACAGTTATATTAGCCATATTGTCATCAAAAGCCCAAGTGACCTCCCTGTCATCTCTGGCATAGTATAAACTTTATCCCAAAGTTGTTCTCTCTTGTGTTAACAAGATTGCTGTCGGTTTCAGTGAGGACTACATATTTTTTTGTTCATGTCCAACACAATAAAAATTGAGGGAAGTTCTCTCCCAATCCTGGAATATTAATATGAAGCGATCTACTTCGGTGGGATTGAGCCAACTTATTTGATCATCTGCTCACCCCTAGATAAATAGCATTCTCCAGGAGATTCCCATGACCTTACTGACCCTAGATCAGATGATGGAATCAGTTTTCCCGAAAAGCCTCAGCACCGTTGACATTTTGGACCATATAATTCTACATCATAGGAAGCTGTTCTATGCATAGCAGGATGTCTGGTAGGATCTCTGTGCCTAGCTGTGAAGTGTTGAGAGTCAGTTAAGGTAATGAGCTGAAATTAAAATAATAATCACATCTTTATTCACTTACTATGATAAAATTATAAGCAAGAGACCAAAAAGGAAAGTAGTGCCAGCTCATTGTTGTTCCATTTTTACCCCCACCGTGGACTAGCACTGGACATGGGTCAATCAGATGACATGTAGTGCAGGCACAGGAAATTGTTTCAATGCTAAGGAGCAATGAACAAAAGGTTCCTGCCATCTTATGAACCTCGAGGACTGCAGAAAGGGAGCAGGGAAGGGCTAGGAGTAGAAAAGAACTGAGTTAGAGTGGAGATGAGTGTCTCAGTCAAAGCCCACCAATAGGGAGGTCTCTGTAGAGGCACCTGAAAAGTGTCTCAACCAAGGCCCCCTGATAAGGAAGACTCAGTATGGAGGTACCTGGTCTAGGAATGCAGCTAGGTTTATAGACATGGCCAGCTCAGGGGGACCTAAGCACCAGGTACAACTCCCTCCAGCGACTGGCTGTGTTTAAATCTCATGTGGGAAGGGCACCTTTCCCCTATGAAGTCTGTCAAGCAAAGCCTTTGTAATTGCTTATGGTCAGGCCTGAAAGATCACAGATCAGACTTTGGCCTGGAACATATCTCCTTGCCCTAAATGCCAGCAGCATCCCCTCCTAACTGTGGCAGTCAAAAATGTCTCCAGACAGTACTAAATGTCCTTTGTGAGAGAAGAATTGGCCCTAGTTAAGAACCACTGCCCTAAAGCACGTGATTCTGTGGAAAAGAAGGATATATGACCAAAATCATCATCTTGGATAGTGAAGGCATGGATAATGGACACATAATCAGCAATGTACACTGTACACTACACTTGCATTATGTTATTCACATTTGCTGTAGTTCGCTTGTTCTGCTAGTGGTTTTTTCCTTCACTATAATTTTGAATTATATTTTAAAGTGTATATATATATATGTGTGTGTGTATATATATAGTATATATATAAAGTGTGTGTGTGTATATATATATATCTCCAATTAGTGTATTTTTTCCTCTACTGCACAGTTTTAGTTGATTATTTTTTCCTTTTCATTTCTTTTCTGAACTTTGTTAGCTTATGTTGCATTTCCTTTGGTTGTTTTGCTATGTTGTTTCTGATCAACTACATTTCTTTATGAACTCTATTTCCTTACGTTCTTTGAGTTATGACAATATATTTGGTCACATTTTTCATGTGCTCAGTTGATTCATTCTTTCCTGTTGAGTGGTTTTATCTGCTAATTGTTTCTGC